GACTCCTGGGAAAGTGGGGTATCATGGTTAGCCCTGGTTTGGCTACACAGTGAAACAGTGGGGGCACATCACATTTACACTGGTCATCCAACACTGGAGACCAGTGTAATCACAGTTATCCCCCACAGTGCTGGTAAGGGCCATAAACTCATGTTTGTTTGTTTGTTTGTTCTTTAACGCCGCACTCAGCAATATTCCAGCTATATGATGGCGGTCTGTAAATAATCAAGTCTGGACCAGACAATCAAGTGATTGACATCACGAGCATCGATCCACACAATTGGGATACGATGACATGCACCAACCAAGTCGGCGAGCCTGACCACCCGAACCCATTAGTTGCCTCTTACGACAAACGTTGTTCCTTTTTACGGCAAGCATGGGTTGCTCAGAATACCTATTCTACATCAGAACATCACAGGTGTACATTGTCTTTAACAATATTTTGAGTAAGCAGGAATAATATATTTTGATATCACATTATTTTAATTGCAGATTTTACAATATATATTCAAAATCATAACCAAAACTAGGGTATATTGTCGAATACTTTTTACGTAAGAAACAATTTGACAAGTCATCGTTGAGGTTTCGTGTAATATAGCCATTTCCATCGCAATAACAATATGTTGACATCTAATAACCAAACTACAACAAAAATGACTTTTAATGAGTCAAAGTATGGCAGTTGTGTTATATGTACAGAGCTACAGATGAGCAGAGTAAAATACCCCCCCTAGAAATATTCAAAACCCAATTACTTTCGATTACCTTGTGTACAGAAATGCATGCATTAGATGAAAAACTCAAATATATGAAAAAAATCATGAGTAAATACCAAATGAAGCAATTTCAGCCTGAGTACAAAGAAGCTAATTTCCAAAACACAGTTACGAGCTAATTTACTTTCCGAGTCAAGCAGAGTCACAGTTATACATCTAAAACATTATTTCATTTTTTAAAATCTTAAAATGTTCATTAAATTTGGGAAAAAAACCAATAGAGTGATGAATAGATGAGTGAAAAAATATTGGCTACCCAATGAAAAATATATTAACCCAATTAGAATAGAAACCTTAGAGTAAAAACTCAATTGCTCAAAACGTTATCTAGAGCTATGTATCTATCCATTCTCTGTCAACTAAGGTTTGTTTAAAGGCGTCAATAGTGGCAATATGATCGTGGTTGCTGTGAATAATGTGAGTTGGCCCTGTCACAGTATGTGGTAAAGCAGACACTATGGATGGGGAAACGGAAGTTGTAGGTATTAGAGTGACACAATTTCGCCGAAATTAATGTACTCTGTAAACATTGTTGAATGAAATATTGAATAAAATTAATAAAACAGATTACAAACATAGTTCTTGATATAAAAGAAACACTTTTCATAATTACCAGATAGTGTAACAACAGGATTAACATGCATAATTTAATATTGATGTGTTGATATTCTGTTGATCATGCCGTGAAGATGTATTTAAGATGGTGGTATGCCTTATGTACTGAACATACCATTTTGACGCAGATTTCAAGGATCAAAGTAATACTTTGGCTTAACTATGAGATCAGCTCATCTACGGCTATATATGGTACGCTATGTGACTACCGGGTGTTTTTGTTTTCATTATATTGAATATGTTAATGATAATTTGTACGATGACAGTCCAACACAATGCATGCTCTTTCTCATTTTTCCACATGTCCGGATCCCTAAACCAACACTCACTACATCTCTTCAGCTATTCACATTTGCAACATTCTACATCTCTACACCTACATTCCTATACATTTCTTGCGCTTTGACCCTCCTACATCCAGCCTTGTAACCACATGTGATTCTCTACACACCACCCTACAATCTCCAGTCTATACGCTCTACACAATCTCCTGCCCCTACGCTCTACAATCTCCTGTCCCTACGCTCTACAATCTCCTGCCCCTACACTCTACAGTCTCCTGCTCCTACGCTCTACAATCTCCTGCCCCTACACCAACCTGGCAATCTCCTGCCCCTACACCCACCCTACAATCTCCTGCCCCTACACCAACCTGGCAATCTCCTGCCCCTACATCCGTCCTACAATCTCCTGCCCCTACACCCACCCTACAATCTCCTGCCCCTACACCCGCCCTACAATCTCCTGCCCCTACATCCGTCCTACAATCTCCTGCCCCTACATCCGCCCTACAATCTCCTGCCCCTACATCCGCCCTACAATCTCCTGCCCCTACATCCGTCCTACAATCTCCTGCCCCTACATCCGCCCTACAATCTCCTGCCCCTACATCCGCCCTACAATCTCCTGCCCCTACACCCGCCCTACAATCTCCTGCCCCTACATCCGTCCTACAATCTCCTGCCCCTACATCCGTCCTACAATCTCCTGCCCCTACATCCGTCCTACAATCTCCTGCCCCTACATCCGCCCTACAATCTCCTGCCCCTACATCCGCCCTACAATCTCCTGCCCCTACACCCGCCCTACAATCTCCTGCCCCTACATCCGTCCTACAATCTCCTGCCCCTACATCCGTCCTACAATCTCCTGCCCCTACACCCACCCTACAATCTCCTGCCCCTACATCCGCCCTACAATCTCCTGCCCCTACACCCGCCCTACAATCTCCTGCCCCTACACCCACCCTACAATCTCCTGCCCCTACATCCGCCCTACAATCTCCTGCCCCTACGCTCTACAATCTCCTGCCCCTACACCCGCCCTACAATCTCCTGCCCCTACATCCGTCCTACAATCTCCTGCCCCTACATCCGTCCTACAATCTCCTGCCCCTACACCCACCCTACAATCTCCTGCCCCTACATCCGCCCTACAATCTCCTGCCCCTACATCCGCCCTACAGTCTCCTGCCCCTACATCCGCCCTACAATCTCCTGCCCCTACATCCGCCCTACAATCTCCTGCCCCTACACCCGCCCTACAATCTCCTGCCCCTACATCCGTCCTACAATCTCCTGCCCCTACATCCGTCCTACAATCTCCTGCCCCTACATCCGTCCTACAATCTCCTGCCCCTACACCCGCCCTACAATCTCCTGCCCCTACATCCGCCCTACAGTCTCCTGCCCCTACATCCGTCCTACAATCTCCTGCCCCTACATCCGTCCTACAATCTCCTGCCCCTACATCCGTCCTATAATCTCCTGCCCCTACATCCGTCCTACAATCTCCTGCCCCTACATCCGTCCTACAATCTCCTGCCCCTACATCCGTCCTATAATCTCCTGCCCCTACATCCACCCTACAATCTCCTGCCCCTACACCCACCCTACAATCTCCTGCCCCTACATCCGTCCTACAATCTCCTGCCCCTACATCCGTCCTATAATCTCCTGCCCCTACATCCGTCCTACAATCTCCTGCCCCTACATCCGTCCTACAATCTCCTGCCCCTACATCCGTCCTATAATCTCCTGCCCCTACATCCGTCCTACAATCTCCTGCCCCTACATCCGTCCTACAATCTCCTGCCCCTACATCCGTCCTATAATCTCCTGCCCCTACATCCACCCTACAATCTCCTGCCCCTACACCCACCCTACAATCTCCTGCCCCTACATCCGTCCTACAATCTCCTGCCCCTACATCCGTCCTATAATCTCCTGCCCCTACATCCGTCCTACAATCTCCTGCCCCTACATCCGTCCTATAATCTCCTGCCCCTACATCCACCCTACAATCTCCTGCCCCTACATCCGTCCTACAATCTCCTGCCCCTACATCCGTCCTACAATCTCCTGCCCCTACACCAAATCTACAATGTCCTGCCCCTACACCCACCCTACAATCTCCTGCCCCTACACCCACCCTACAATCTCCTGCCCCTACACCCACCCTACAATCTCCTGCCCCTACACCCACCCTACAATCTCCTGCCACTACATCCGTCCTACAATCTCCTGCCCCTACATCTGTCCTACAATCTCCTGCTGACCTACACCCTACAATCTCCTGCTCCTACATCCGTCCTACAATCTCCTGCCCCTACACCCACCCTACAATCTCCTGCCCCTACATCCGTCCTACAATCTCCTGCTCCTACATCCGTCCTACAATCTCCTGCCCCTACACCCACCCTACAATCTCCTGCCCCTACACTCTACAATCTCCTGCCCCTACACCCACCCTACAATCTCCTGCCCCTGCATCCGTCCTACAATCTCCTACTGACCTACACCCTACAATCTCCTGCCCCTACATCCGTCCTACAATCTCCTGCTGACGCCTGCGCTTCACTATCTCCTGCTCCTACACCCACCCTTCAATCTCCTGCCCCTACATCTGTCCTACAATCTCCTGCCCCTACAACTGTCCTACAATCTCCTGCCCCTACACCCAATCTACAATCTCCTGCTGACCCACACTCTACAATCTCCTGCCCCTACACCCAATCTACAATCTCCTGCTGACCTACACTCTACAATCTCCTGCTGACCTACGCTCTACAATCTCCTGCCCCTACACCCTACAAACTTCTGTCTCCACACTCTACAATCTCCTGCCCCTGTGGTCTACAATCTCATACCCTACACCCCCTACACCATGTACACCCACCCAACAATCTCTGCATCCCTTCACTTCACATTCCTACCTCTCTAGCTCCCACACTCTCATTGTCTGCCACACCTAATGATACCATTATCATGAACCTCACTTTTATGATTACCATTACTATTACCACAGTCAATAATCCAATACACATGTGTTGTATAACACATAATGCATATAGCATGTATAGCACACCTGTTGTACCAGATATGCTCAATTAATCCAACTGTGACCAGGTGACACACACAGACAATCTGTGTTCATCAATCCTGCTGTTCAATGTTTGAACTTTGCAATGACACCTATTTCACTGATAACAGGACCAATCAAGCAAAAAAGGCTTTTATGCTTAATTTTACCTTGTTACATGAACTTCATTAAAATAACACTGAAATCATGAAAATAGGAACTTAAAAACAATCCCAATTCACAAATTGTTACACAGACAAAGTAATGTATTCTACAGGCTCTTTATTTATTATTCTACTTGAGCCTGTTATGAAACACCTGATGCCACGTTGCTGAAGTATGTCATACACTGTTCTAATTTCACCGTTCTCATGCTCAGTTGTCAAGCAATTTGTTTAACATTGAGAATACAGCATTATGATGACAGATGCTGGTGAGTGTTATCATGGCTTTCCCTATTTATGTGGACCAGAGTGTGCAGTGTGATAACCGTATCACATAGTCACACGTGTGATACAGTGTCAATACACAGATAGCAGTAGACAGTCACCTGCAGCACATCAGGTAGGGAGGATGAGGGAAGAGATTTGTCAATTTTGCATCTTTGTTTTTACTTGCATCCTCTTCATTGAACATGTTTAGGGATGTTGGCTGGTCTGCAGTCGGAGTATTTAACCCTTTGGTAATCATGATAGAAGGAATTTAGTTTTAAAAAAAATGATTTGATCTTTTCAAAGAATTAAATACGGGGAGCTGTGTGTTCATACAGCTTAACCTGTGTAACCTGTGCTTTCATACAGTGTCATCTGTGCTTTCATACAGTGTCATCTGTGCTTTCATACAGTGTCATCTGTGCTTTCATATAGTGTAACCTGTGCTTTCATACAGTGTCATCTGTGCTTTCATACAGTGTAATCTGTGCTTTCATACAGTGTAACCTGTGCATTCATACAGTGTAACCTGTGCTTTCATACAGTGTCATCTGTGCTTTCAAAAGTGTAATCTGTGCTTTCATACAGTGTAACATGTGCTTTCATACAGTGTAAATCAGTGCTTTCATACAGTGTCATCTGTGCTTTCATACAGTGTCATCTGTGCTTTCATACAGTGTAACCTGTGCTTTCATACAGTGTTATCTGTGCTTTCATACAGTGTAACCTGTGCTTTCATGCAGTGTCATCTGTGCTTTCATACAATGTCATCTGTGCTTTCATACAATGTAACCTGTGCTTTCATACAGTGTAATCTGTGCTTTCATACAGTGTCATCTGTGCTTTCATACAGTGTCATCTGTGCTTTCATACAGTGTCATCTGTGCATTCATACAGTGTAATCTGTGTGGTTATACAGTGTAACCTGTGCATTCATACAGTGTCACCTGTGTGGTTATACAGTGTAACCTGTGGTTTTTTTTAAATACAGTGTAACCTGTGGATTCATACATTGTAACCTGTGCATTCATACAGTGTAATCTGTGTGGTTATACAGTGTAACCTGTGCATTCATACAGTGTAATCTGTGTGGTTATACAGTGTAACCTGTGGATTCATACATTGTAACCTGTGCATTCATACAGTGTAATCTGTGTGATTATACAGTGTAACCTGTGTTTTTTTTAAATACAGTGTAACCTGTGGATTCATACATTGTAACCTGTGCATTCATACAGTGTAATCTGTGCATTCATACAAACACTGTGTGTTTATACAGTGTTACCTGTGCATTCATAGTGTCATCTGTGCATTCAAACAGTGTAACCTGTGTGTTTATACAATGTAACCTGTGCATTCATACAGTGTAACCTGTGCATTCATACATTGTTACCTGTGCATTCATACATTGTTACCTGTGTGTTTATACAGTATAGCCTGTGTGTTTATACAGTGTAACCTGTGCATTTATACAGTGTAACCTGTGCATTTATACAGTGTAACCTGTGCATTTATACAGTGTAACCTGTGTGTTTATACAGTATAGCCTGTGTGTTTATACAGTGTAACCTGTGCATTTATACAGCGTAACCTGTGCATTTATACAGCGTAACCTGTGCATTCATACAGTGTAATCTGTGCATTTATACAGTGTAACCTGTGTGTTTATACAGTGTAGCCTGTGTGTTTATACAGTGTAACCTGTGCATTTATACAGCATAACCTGTGCATTCATACAGTGTAACCTGTGTGTTTATACAGTATAGCCTGTGTGTTTATACAGTGTAACCTGTGCATTTATACAGCGTAACCTGTGCGTTTTTACAGCGTAACCTGTGCATTCATACAGTGTAATCTGTGCATTTATACAGTGTAACCTGTGTGTTTATACAGTGTTACCTGGTGTTACGAGGTTTAAATGCAGTGACTATGGTTGAAAGAATGTTGTAATGCAACTCCTGTGTGATGCAAGCATCATTCATAATTAATCTGGGGCGGTCGGGTAGCCTAGTGGTTAAAGCGTTCGCTCGTCACGCCGAAGACTCGGGTTCGATTCCTGACATGGGTACATTGTGTGAAGCCCATTTCTGGTGTCCCCCACCGTGATATTGCTGGAATATTGCTAAAAGCTCACTCACTCGCTCATAATTAATCTCTGTTCATACTCTTATCACAGGTGTGTTTTCACACATTCATCCCTTGTTTTCATGATATTTGAAAATGTTTGTACGTGGAAATGTTTGTATGTGGAAATGTTTGTGCGTGGAAATGTTTGTACGAATGTTGAAACATCTCCAATGTTAAAACATGGAGCGTGACATAGGGTTGAAAGGCTCAGTTGTGGTTTTGTCACAAGGAATTTTTGTGGCGGAGAAATCATGAGAATCTGTTTTTTCAGGGAGCAGAATCAGTGAGTCCCAAGTGATTTCTCCGACTTGAAGCATGTTGAAACATTATTTTTCTATAATTTTGCACAATGATCTATAGTTGTGTCAGTTTTACTTGTAAAATGCAGGTTCAGAATGGCGAGTGACTTCCTGGCTCAGAGTCAACTGCGAGAAAAATAGTGCGACATCATAATTTTAAATACCCGTGAAGATATGGGTTAGAATAGGTCTTCACGACCCATGCTTGTCGTAAGAGGCGACTAACGGTATCAGGTGGTCATGCTCGCTGACTTAGTTGATGCATGTCATTGTATCCCAATTGCCTGGAACGATGCTCATGATGTCAATCACTGGATTGTTAGGTCGAATATTTACAGACCGTCGTCATATCGCTGGAATATTGCTGAGTGCGACATTAAAAAACAAACAAACTTGTTAAACTGCAGGTTCAGAATGGCCAATGACATCGTGGTTCAGAATCAACCGAAACGAACAATAGCGTGACGTCATCATGATTTATAATCCTGCTTGCAGTATAAATATGACTATTAATGTAACTGTTATTTATCTTTCTTTCAGAGTGACAAGTGAAAAGCTTCGAAGAGAAACCCCACAACAAAACCTGAGAACATATTTCAACCGTGAAAACCGACTGTGTGATATTGTGACATTGCAGACAGAGCCTTGTTACCATTTGTGCCTTGTTTCGCCTGCCTTGTATCACTCACTGCCTTCACTTCCACTTCTCAGGGAAGCTTGTCACTCCAGGATGAAGTCACTGCCATTCTCTTGCTTCTAGTGATGAAAGCACAACCAGCTATTTTTTTTATAAGTAGACATAAAACAAAAACATCTGGATGAGGAAGCAATTTTTTATTTTTGTTATCTTTGAGGAAGTATTTCTAGTCATTGTTTTCTAGTCATTGGTATCAGGAACCTGTTACCAAATATAAACAAGGATGTTTAACAGTGTAAAAGTGTACATAACCCAAGCAGCTTGTTGATATTTAAGCTTAACTCTGTTGTACAGTTTTATGAGTCTGAGAGATCTCATAAATTGTAAATTATACAAGGGTTTGAAACGTTTTGATCTTTCATTGACAATTTGTCAACAAAATTTTTACCTTTTGAATTTGACATCAAAGAACCTGGTTCTAGTTGATGAAAGGACTGTCTAATATTATGCAAACCGTTTCCATGATGAAGTGGGTAGTGTTGGTGAGTGTGTTGACGATGGCTTCAGGCTACAAACATGTCGTCTTCATGCATGGTATTCTGGCTGGCCCGTCTGAATTTGACAAGTTTGCACAGCAGATCAAAATCGTAAGTAATAACCAAAAACAATTATAGGAATATTTGGGTAGATATTACCATACTGAAATTGCATCACAATGCTTTGCAGACCATTGCAGACCATTGTGACATCATCAGTTAACATGATGTCACAATCAAATGACATCACTATTTTTTGCCACTGAACATGGATAGCTGTACTTTTGAGAGTCAAGACAATACTTATTACTGTTCACAAAACTTAAAAGGTTGGAAGAATGATTCTGGATGATGAATAGAATCTCACCCTCGCCAGGTCTCAGAGTTTTAGACTTTTTTGGTATCGTGCTGATGTATTTGATATCAAAAGACACGAGGGTGACATTCTCTCTATATGTTTCTAGATGTATCATGCTCTGGATTGTTTTTCCAATCTCAGTCACCATACACTTGACTTACCTCATTTTGACATTTGTTTGAGACATATAAAATACATATGTACATTGAGAGAAACAGAATGTCCCTGGGAGCAGCTTGTATTGAACAGAGTACTTATTGGTAGTACTCAGTGCCACCTCCGTTGTCTAGTGGTAGAGTGTCCGTCAAGAGAGCTGAAGGTCCAGGGTTCGATCCGCGTCATACCATAAGATGTTAAAGGTGGTACTTGTTGTAATCCTGCCTGGCGCCCGGCATTAAGGGGCTAAAACAAGGACTTGGTCGCCTCTGCATGGGGTATTCATGTTAAACTGAGACATGATATCTCAGTGGTAGAACACACAGACACAGACACACAGAGATATAAAGAGACACACGCTCACTCACTCAGTCACTCAGTCACTCAGTCACTCACTCACTCACTCACTCATTGGATGCACATGATGTTAAACCCCATTTCACCTTCACCTTGTACATTTCTGGTTACCACGGTCACATCTATATTTCAGGATCACCCGGGCACCAACACTACACAGATCAATGCGTTTGTGGACGCGTACAGTCTGGAACCGATGTGGAACCAGGTGGAGAAGATTCAAATCATCTTCACTCAGATCATGGCCGACAACCCTGATGGCATCCATCTTGTCTGCTTCTCGCAGGGTGAGTGAGGGCACACCATGTGATAAAGCTGTTGTGTCATTGATATAATGGGATGATATGAGCTACTGGTACGATGTAATATCAGCTGCTTTTAGGTGTGGTGATATGTGTTGCTGGTACTGTTCGGTTTTAAATTCAATTTCACATGGTTAAATCTACAGGTAGCCTAGCTCTACATTGAAAACGCAGTAAGTTTTCTCCTAATTAAACAAATGTAGCCTTTGAAATTCACGCTAGTCTGTTGACCTGAGACTACTTAATTCTGCTAAGGGCAAGTAATAATCCTATGATGGTAGTTCTCATTGACAAGCAGCATTTGAGTGCTGTGATTCTGAACCAGTTCTCTATGTTTCAGTTTTGTTATAAATTGGAACTGATTAAAAATGATGGAACATGTAAACATAGCAAACATTTTTGTCTTGGTCAAGCTTGACAAAGCTACAAAAGTGAAATAATATTTCCACTAGTCTTCAACAAAGTGATTTTCTAAGACTCTATGTGATGTGAAGTGCTGATGTTGCCGATTTTGCTGATGTTGATGTTGCTGGTGTTGCTGATGTTGCAGGTGGCTTGGTGTGTCGTGGGCTGATGTCCCTGCTGCAACACAATGTGGACACCTTCATCGGTCTCAGCTGCCCCCTGGCCGGCCAGTATGGAGGTGAGAATACACAGCTGAAGGACACCTGAGGACAAAGTTGTTTTATCGATCAAAATGTTGCTGTGAAGAGTCGTGTCCCTACAGCATGTCAGAAATCTATGATCCTAGTTTTTTAACCTCTGTTTGCCCTGATTATGTTTCTAGGTTTGTCAGCACCATACCTGTGCTTGTGGGTTTAACCAAAGTGGTAAACATTCAAGACCTGCATATCTCGGGGCTTTTCTCCCACATTGAGCTGACACACCGTGATATAACAGAAATACTGTTCAAAGCAACTCACTCACTCATTATCCTATGGATCCTGAAAACAGAGGCATGGATCTTGCTTTTAGTGACTAGTTTGTCTGGCCCAGACTCAGTTATTTACACACCCATGAAGATCCGGGGTAGAGACGGTCTTCAGTAACCCATGCTTGCCGTAAAAGACGACTATGCTTGTTGTTAGAGGCGACCAACGGATCGGGTGGTCAGGCTCACTGACTTGGTTGATGCATGTCAACGTATCCTATCGTATCATCAATCACTGGATTGTCTGGTCCAGACTTGATTCTTTACAGACCGCCGTCATCATGGTCATATAGCTGGAATATTGCTGAGTGCGGCCTTAAACAACAAACAAACAAACAAACAAACAAACAAAGTTATTTACATGTCATCGTGATGAGGATAAAATACTGCACAGTTCTGTCTAATACTTCCATTTGCTGTTTCAAGTTTATGAGGCTTGTGGGGTACCTTAGTAGTTACGGCATTTGCTTGTTAATGAATTGGTTGAGGGTATTTATCCTAATAATGAATACCCAGGATAAATGAGGATGAGTGTCCCAACACTGTAAAAAAGCTACAGCAGCAGAGAACACCCACACACATGTCTCCTCCTGTGATATCTCTTGAATAGTGTAACAAATACAAGTAGTGTCTAAGCCTACTCACTCACTCACTCACTCACTCACTCACTCACTCACTCACTCACTCACTCACTCACTCACTCACTCACTCACTCACTCACTCACTCACTCACTCACGCACTCACTCACGCACTCGCTCACTTGAATACTGTTTGTTACAAGCAGTGTCGAACCCTACTCACTCACTCACTCACTCACTCCAACTCACACACACATTCACTTGGTGTCCCCTCCTGTTATCTCGCTCGAATACTGTTACAAGCAGTGTCGAACCCTACTCACTCACTCACTCACTCACTCACTCACTCACTCACTCACTCACTCACTCACTCACTCCAACTCACACACACATTCACTTGGTGTCCCCTCCTGTTATCTTGCTCGAATACTGTTACAAGCAGTGTCAAACCCTACTCACTCACTCACTCACTCACTCACTCACTCACTCACATATTCACTTAGCACCCCCTACTGTTACATCACTTAAATACTGTTACAAGCAGTGTCAAACCCCACTCACTCACTCACTCACTCACTCACTCACTCACTCACTCACTCAATCACTCACTAAGTGTCCCCGCCTGTTATATTGCTCAAATACTGTTACAAGCAGTGTCAAACCCTACTCACTCACTCACTCACTCACTCACTCAAGTTGACCATGCTCTTGTTGTTTCAGATACTGCTTACCTCAAGTATCTATTCCCAAACTATGTCAAGTCAAACATTTACAGGTGGGTGACGGAGAGTTAAGTTTCCATGCTGTGAAATGATCACTCTAAGGATATATCTGATATTGGAGTAGTTCAATAGATTTTTTAAAAAGTTGCGCATGTGAAGAAAGTTTCTTGGAATTTAATTTAGCATGAATAATTATTAACATGCATAATGAAAGCTTTGCACTCTTCAAAATATTCAGATATTTTAGAATTCTGATATGTAAGATTGTTATACTACTCAACATTGGAGAGGGACACTGGGCTATTTCCTACTATTTCATAACAAGAGCACAGCCACTGGTGTACTTGAATTGTGTACTTACGTTTGTTAACTTTAAATGAAGATTAAGATGCTCCAGTTGCATGGTAACATGGGATACTATTTTTAGAACACCATCTCTGAGCAGCCAATCACACACATTCATGTCCCACATTGGGAATATCTCTATCAAACTGGTTGGGTGTTGACATTCAACTAGCATTTCTCTTGCAGATATTTCTACACTGACAATGGGCAGAGGTGGTCTGTTGCAAATTATTGGTATGGTGAGTATTCATTGTCTGTATGTTTCTTGTTGAACACCGCAATATTCCAGCTATAAGATGGTGGCCTGTTAATAGACTTTCTCGGGATTGATGTTTAGAGCACCGACCAATACTGTCAGGACACATTGACACGCCATCAACTGAATCACCATACCACCAAATCCATTAAGTTGCCTTTTATCACCAGAGTAGGTTGGGGGCATTCGTCACCACTCGCCCCTTTCCGTAACCTGCAAGAAGACTTGTTCCCCCTATCGATGAATGCTATGTGCGAAAATACGACAAACCAATCAGAATGCGCGTATGATTTCAAGTTCTTCGTCAAAGAATCCCTCAGAAATAATTTTTGATTTTACATATCTTACATCTTGCATCTAAAAATATACCAAAGACACAGTTAAATGTGTTCAATCATACTGTATAATTCCACATGTCCCGATGTGCTTTAAATTGCATCTGAAATATATATAATATATGGGGAAAATGTGTGAACCATTGCGCAACGAGTTGACAATTGTTTTAGGAATGCCCGTTTGCGCTAAGATGGAACCCAGTCGCAAAAATGGCCACGAGAGGGGCACGAGTCGCTATTCGGCTTGTCCCGGAATAACGCGAATTGGTCACGAATGAGGTTGGGGGGCCAATTCTTACCCGTAATCCCCAAGGGGTCACAATTACATCACCTCTTATGAATAGCAATGGAGACACATTCCACATTCAGGGGGTATTCAAAACAATAGACATTAGTGATCCTTTCTACATGGTCTATGTAAGGAAGTGTTCTGAATTAAGTATGAAAGTCAAGGGTCCTCGTTACAGCCTAATGGGTAAAAGTTAAAGATTTAGGGACATCCTGGATACTATCAGTATTAGTGATTCTCACTTTAGGTTTGACCGCTGTAATGAATTTGTTGTGGATAAATGTTGGCACTGATAAGTGACCTTTGAAAAGGAAAATAGCTTGTACAAAGCCTCAAAGCAGTAATGTTCATCAAATGTGACAGCTCTGTGACATGCAGCTGTTTATTTCTAGATCCACATCATCAAGACAATTACCGCAAGTTCTCCACATATCTGGCCATCCTCAACAATGACACCCACAACAGACAAAGTCAAAGTAAGACTATATGTTGGGACAGGTATATCACATCTATTAGTGATTATGTGAATATTTAATAGATAAATCATTTGTATTTTCTCTGAGTGTAGTAACAGTGAGTGAGCGAGCGTCCCTTGCGCACGCCAGAAACCTATGATTGTGGGTTTGAATCCCGGTTCGCCTCGATTATGTTTCTAGGTTTGTCAGCACCATACCCAGGTTGGTGGGTTTCACCAAAGTGGTAAACATCTTTGACCTGCATCACTTCGGGCTTTCCTCCCACATTAAGCTGACACGCCGTGATATAACTGGAATACTGTTAAAAACAGCGTTAAACACAACTCAGTCACTCACCCATTCATCTAATATCTTAAGACCTGCTATCTAATGTCCTTGAAAATTATGCACTAAAATTCTGAATTTTCGATTTCTCTTCTCTATGCTTTAACTGGTAATATAGTTAAATATCTTTCAGGTTGTAGCTGAGACTTGATACAAGCATGATTAGAAAGAAATTTGAAGTTGGTGCCAATTTTGGTAGAACTTAAGTCATTGTTAATTGAATACTATCTACAGCTTTCAAGGAGAACTTCTCTCGCCTGAAGAAGATGGTGCTTGTTGGGGGTCCAGATGATGGTGTTATCACTCCTTGGCAATCTAGGTACTGTATCTACCATCAATATCATATGATTATCCTCTGTTGAACTGTATTGTTATTGTGAATATGTCCCAAATGTGCCTTAAAAACTAGAACATCTATTATAGTATTTAAACAATAACAGTCTTGTAGTCATACAAGGTCAATGTTGCTTTTTCGGGTCCATAAAACAGATAACCTCTTTCCTTGTTTTATTATACAAGGAAGAGACAAAAGTCCAAACAAACCAAGATACCTGATTGGCTTAGGTTTGAGAAATACTACTGCCCGGGTAATTCCCATTCTATTTTTAGTAACTCAGTCAATACTGTAAATTGTCAGACCTGACTTGGTGTGTGTCTTTCTGTCAATGACATGTCTTCTTCTCGGCCAATGAATATGGTGGAAATCTTTGCATTTTATAATAATGCATTATTACCTTCCATTTCTTGCCATTTGTAAAAAATGTTTTGGATTTTTTTCAGTCATTTTGGGATGTACAATGGCAGCGAAGTGGTTCTCCCAATGCAAGAGCAAAGGGTATGTCTCAAGCCCATTTACACTCTGTGACAAGGACATTATCACACCTTAAGATGTAATGACACCTCATGACAATACCAGGGTTGTGTCCATTCATCTTAGGTGTTGTGACCATCTCCATGGTCTAGTGGTACTGCGTCCGCCCGTAGAGCGGAAGGTCCGGGGTTCGATACCTGGCTGCGTCATACCAAAAGACTTTTAAAGATGGTAGTTTTTGTTACTCTGTCTGGCGCTCGGCATTAAGGGGCTAAAAGAAGGACTTGTCAGCTCGGAGTCAGTACATTGTGTCTGAGTGGGGTATTTATGTTAAACTGGGCCATGGTATCTCAGTGGGCTCGCACTATAAAATCGACATAAGTCCCGACTAGTACAAGCGCGCACGCACACACACACACGTGCAATAATCATGAAGATGACGTTAAACCCAATTTCACCTCACCTCTTAGGTCTTGTTATTTGCTCTGCGGAGCCCTTAGACATGACAGAAACCCATGATTATGGGTTAAGATCCCAGGTTGCCTTCACTAGTTTCCAGGTTTGTAAGCAGTATACCCCTGCTTGTGGGTTTCACAAAAGTTGGAAACTTTTAAGACCTACCTAACTTCAGGCTTTCCCCTACATTAAACTGACATGAAGCTAAAATTGAAGCTTGGGGTTAGGGCTGGGGCGGGTAATTCAGGTTCTCGGGTCGGGTGGGTCCTGAGTAGGTCCCGGGTACCCACAGGACTATTTCTTTCTGACTATGCGCAAATTTCTTCCGATTTTTTCCAATATCATTAAAATCAGATCTTAGTTCTCGCTTTGCTTAACAAAGATCTGAGGACATCCCATTAAGGGTCACGTCAGAACGACCTTTCATCCCACCAATCAGAGCGTCGCTTACCAGATCATTAAAGTGACAGTCGGAATGTGTTTTCTAATCATGCAACCACGAAATATTAAACACGGGGTATTCAGAACGACAGTTACGGGTTTTATGATTACATCCATACAATCTAGGCCATCTATTAGCCATACCTGAATGTTCTTCCTATCCGTTTTAATTTTTTTAATCGAGAATATGTCAAAATATGTTTCGAAGCGTGGTCGTGGGTTGAAACTAGTGTCGTAAAGCTCGAGAAAGCTGCCTTCTGATTGGCTAATGTCGATTTCTTGTCAGTAATTTCATTGGTCGGTCAAAATTCGCGAAAGGTCGTTCTGACGTGACCCGTAATGGGATGTCCTCAGATCTTTGTTTAGCGGTAGCGAAAACTAAGATCTGATTTTAATGAGATTGGATTTTTTCCTTCTGATTTTTATATCTTCTTTGATAGGCATTTAGAAGTTGGAGTACTAAGTAAGGATAAGAATTTATGGATGAACACTTCCTTATTGTAATAAAGAAGTGTTCATCCATAAATTCTTATCCTTACTGATTTTTATATGTTTGAGTAAAGACAAAGCTTCAGTTAACTTCAGTGTATCCACGATCGGATCATTATATATATACTGAACATTTTGTACCCATCTTGAGACCTGCAGTGGGTACCCCGATAGGGTCGGGTAATAGGGGTTCAGGGACCTGGGTAGTACATATAGAATTGTCCCAGCCTTACTTGGGGTGATCAAAGTGGTAAATGCCCGAAACCTGCATCACTTCGTCCTTTCCTCCCACATCAAGCTGTCACACCGTGATATAAGTGGAATGATGTGCAAAGCATCATTAAACCCAACTCACTCACTCACCCTGAATTCTTATACAAATTATTCCTATTTCCAGTGGTACAAAGAGGACAGCTTCGGGCTACGCACCCTGTACGAGCGGAAGGCAATTACGACCTTCACCTACAGCGGGGTTCAACACATCCACTGGCACTCCGATATGGATGTATACAAGAAGAGTGTGGAACCGTTCCTCACATAGACAGTGTGTGGGGATTAACTGCCGTGTTCACATTGCGTGTGGATGTCTTCAAGCAGAGCATGGACCCATTCCTAATGTTGACAGAGTTTGGTAATTAATGGCCCTGTTGACTTTGTGTCAGTTTAGATTGCAGCCAAAAGGGGACGTGGTTAACAATGATTTTCAAGAGGTGTTCAGTTTATGAAATGTATTTATTTTACTGAAGTATGATTGTTTTAGGTTGTTCTGTGATTTTGTTATTGCTAATAGATAAGGATTTTTAAATGTATGCAAAATGAAACATTTCTTAAAGGACTTTAGTTGATAGTAATCAAAACTACAGCTGAATTTCAAGAGTTGAATTGAAGTGCTTGTACACTGTTGTGGTGAGCTTTTGCACTTAATCAAAAATAATTTTGTAATCAAATAGTGAAACGCATTTGAAGATCCCAACACATATCCTGTTTTAAGAAGATTTAAGTGTGACTAATCTTGATTTGTTTTCTGAAGTTAGAGACAATGTTTCTTCTGTGTTTTACTTTTGCCTTGAAATCTTGCTTTTAGACCTGGTTGTAGTAAGTTGGTTTTAATCATGATATTTTATCGACATTATTTATCAATGTACATAGGAACCCTACTTTTGCATTTTTAGTGAGATTTACTCTGTCTAGATGTTGATTTTTTGTTTTACTTTTAATAGAGAATATAAGAGTTGTTTTAATCCTATCTGTAGCAATCACTGACTTGAGATCAAATACTAAAATCAATAATATTGCATGCTTTACATCAGTGTGGAGAACTGTTTCAAAAAGAAAACTCTACATTGATATATAACATGCACAATTATTGATATATTGGTGAATTATTCCAATGATGTTTGTTCAATGATTGGATGTGAAGTTTTCTTGCTTAATTATCGTGGATGTTAATCAACATTTAAGGAATGTTTCCCAGATACAGTGAAGCTCTGTTATTCCAGGAATTAGCTGCACAGCTCAAAATGCATTTCTGTATTCTTTGATACACAGTGTTTGTGACTTATACATGTTTCCAACAACTACCATCCAGAAGGCAGAGATTCTGAATTAACAGGATCCTGTCTAAGAGGGTTCCCCTGTAGAGAGGGTGTCATCTTCATTCCAGCTCAGACATACTGCAGTCTCATGTGTCTTCCAAACAGAGGGTAATCTGATGTGAATACTATGCAATCAAAGAGAGATTACTTGTGTTAGCTGAGTGAGACAATATGCAGATTTGTTTCTCGGACCAAGGAGTGTTTTGATGAGCAGAAAATATCTACCAAATTTACACCAGCTGGATATGGATGCCGTATTTCAACATGTTATATCAGCAATGTTTCTGGTATATATCTTGGTTATGTTTCTGGTATATATCTAGGTTATATCAGCTGTTTCTGGTATATATCTAGGTTCTGTCAGCTATGTTTCTGGTACCGTATATATCTAGGTTATATCAGGTATGTTTCTGGTATATATGTAGGTTATATCAGCTATGTTTCTGGTATATATCTAGTTTATATCAGCAATGTTTCTGGTATATATCTAGGTTATGTCAGCTATGTTTCTGGTATATATCTAGGTTATATCAGCAATGTTTCTGGTATATATCTAGGTTATGTCAGCTATGTTTCTGGTATATATCTATGTTATATCAGCAATGTTTCTGGTAATATCTAGGTTATATCAGCAATGTTTCTGGTATATATGTAGGTTATATCAGTTATGTTTCTGGTATATATCTAGGTTATATCAGCAATGTTTCTGGTATATATGTAGGCTATATCAGCTATGTTTCTGGTATATATCAAGGTTATATCAGCTATGTTTCTGGTATATATCAAGGTTATATCAGCTATGTTTCTTGTGTTCATGGAAACAATGTATGAGACCAACATAAACTTTGTTATAATGTCAAACAGAATATGCAATCCTAGTCATATAATTTTGATATTATTGGAAATGTATTATTTTTTATTGTTGTCAACACTGACTGGTAAAGGTGGACACTGTGATAATTACCTCCCTTTGTCATCAATATTTATCCTGTAGTCTTTTCACATCACCTGTACATACCTGTGACAATTAGTACACGAGTACACTGGGTGCACATCAGCATCTGTAGCATGTCATGATACCCCATGGATCATGTCGTCGATCATGTAGTGGACCTATTATTCAAAGACTTTATCAATCATGGATATTGATACTTTCTATTTGTATTTTGCTGTACAGGGTAAGTATTTTTTTAAGAACCATTGTCCGAGGTGTTACGATTACAATTAGAAAAGATGGTGAATGAGATGACTGAGCTTCCATAACATGTTACGTCTTTCTGTATGAATACTTCAAATTCCTTGCATTATAATCAACTGCACATTGTATAACTGTGTATCAACAGCGAATGACCTCATGTCATATCCTTCCAGACGTGCAATTTATCTTGTGCTCAGTAACATGTCTCTACAAGGGAGTTCATCTTTGAACAGTTTTTTGTTCTATTTATTTTTATATGTAGCATTGGTTGACTGATAGGAGTGTATTACAAAGAGTTACTGATAAACCTGTGATGCAGTGTAAAGATATGCTATGTCCAGCTCTGTTGTCTGGGGTGACATACAGTTTTCATGTTAAGGTGTGGTACTATTCACCGGTGGTACGTGGTCCTGTGCACAGCAAACAGGTCACAAATCAAGTTAAGCAATGTCGGTCGCGGAGAGTCCTTGGATGGGTGGCCGCTTTCGTCAGTTTGGCTCCTGAGAGTTTCGGGCTTCAGTCAAGCCCCACACTGAAGCACATTGAACAAATAAACAGGTGTGTACCATCAATCTGGGAAAGAGCCTGCCTACCAAAAGAAGCATACAACCTCCTATTGCCGCCATGACCATAACATGAGATGTGCAGCAAAGCAGTGTGCATGTAAAGGGAAGTAACTGTGTGCTATATTGGATTGCATTGGATTTAAGTATTAGGGTTTTTTATTTTTTTAAAAATGGAAATTAAAACAAAACCTGCAACAGACTTTATGATGATGCAGGCATTGCCTGAGAACCAAGACTAATATTTTTTTAGCCTGAATGAAAATATCTTCATGGCTCCCTCTACAGTGTGTGGTTCTGCAATCCAAGTGATGTACAAAGGTTGGGCACAAGAGAACACAGTTCCTGGAAGTGTGCAATATTGTCTTCTCTGTTTTTTTAAGATATACACCATGTGTTTCTGCATATTCACAGGTTCTGTGACTTGTTACTCTGATCTGAGGCATATTTCATATTTATGGTAGATTGCGCTATTGTTTGTCGATAAACAACAAATAAGAAAAACAACTCTCAAGACGATTTTGTGTAAACTATCATCAACCCTACTTTAAAAAGGAACCTGGGGATGATAGTTTAGGACAAACGGTTTGAACATTTCTACCACAAATTTGAAACCTGACACAGTAACATGGAGTCCCAGATGAAAGCTTACCTTTATCTGTTATGGAATTTAATGTGTTTCATGCTCAATTGTAAATTTTGGTTTCCCACGTTTTCTTTACTGTGTGTTGGCCTTCATTTTCACCTTTTGTACATTGCAAGGGAGGTAACTCTAAATGCATTTCTCTGGCCTGACAAGATGTATTGCTGTTGCAACATAAAATGGAATTATGAACATATTTTTTCCTCACTAGTCAAGGACAAGCAGAACATGACGTGCTAGGCTAGTCTTATATCGTTGTTATGGGATTCAGGGTCCAAATAAGTCCCTCAGCTTGTACCATGAGGATCAGATGTACCTCGTATCCCAACATGGACCCCTGCTCTGCAGTGCCGTAGCCAGCCGGGGGGCAGGGGGGAAGTTGCCCCCCTGGATTTTTTATAGAAACAGTTTTATTTAATTAAGTTGGGGACAAGTGACTCTTGTACAGATATTTGCCCTCCCTGTCAGAAAGTGTTAACTACGGCCTTGCTCTGGCTATCAGCCAATGGGAAGTAGGGTCCATACTTGATCACATTACTCTTTCCTTCCTCTCCTTATTTGGGGCAATGGGGTAGCCTAGTGGTTAAAGGGTTCACTTGTCACAGGTTTAATTCTCCTCTAAGGTGCAATGAGTGAAGCCCTGGTGAGTTTGCAGGAATATTGCTAAAATTGGTATAAAAGCAATTAGATTAGGTTTATCCGTATGCATTTTTCCGAGGCAAGAGAGTTAACTGACTGGATGTAAAAGTCCAGTTTCCACCCTTGCTGAACTAGGATGGAATTCCTGGGCTCGATCGTAGTGTGGCCAGTGGCTATTAGGACTTTTGTCCCTTCTATATCCCTCCTATTGACCAATAAGATCCCACCTCTCATATCATTTGCATTTGCTTCAAATAAAATGTCGTTGCCCAGTGAAGACAATCTTATTGATAGTCAAGATCTATATTGTATATAAAACGGGTCTTACTTCACAAAGTGCATCAATTCACGTGAGCACCTTGATTAAACACATGAAAAAAATGGAAAACATCTTTTGGCCTAAGTTGTCGGACCACATGCTTTGCAAATCCTGCAATTGACGGAAATCTACACAACAGTTTACGAACCAGATGTCGATTTCATTACGCAATTTTGATTGGACTATGCATAGACTCATTTTTCAAGCCAAAATGTAGCTCCATAATTCCAACCTAGTTCGGCAAGGGACTTTTATAGTCAGTTAACTCAGTTAACTTGCCTCAGGAAGATCAGTGTGAAGCCATCAATATATATTTTTGTTACAAATTATGTCTGTACTGTTGTTGGTATATGTAAATACACATTTACATAATTACTCGTTTTCTCCACTTTTTTGCACAATAATTTATGACAAAGAATTGTTATTTTACATGACCTAAACCAGTAATTTCCCTTGAGATGTGACTTGTTCATGTTTTATTACATTTTGAAAGACGGGATTATTTTCCCAATTTCTATGCAACTGTTTCCATTTTTTTGAATGTGACTGTTTCCAGTATCTGTGCATGTGGCGTTCAAGTAAAGCCTACTGTCACCCTGACACCTAACAGGAAGATTACGTTTTTCCTATCATCTGTGTTTTATCTTCTATTATCCGGCAGCCACTCTGGGAAAAACGTGGGTGTTTGTGCATATAACTATGACACATTGGGGTCGATTTGAGGGAGAAATGGGTTGGAAAGGGGTGTGTGAAGGGGAAGTGGGAAGGTCGCGGGTGGCTCAGTCGTCTGTACAGAGATACGTCCACTGGCACTGGGATCACCAGACCACAACACTCTCCCATCTGCGTTTCGTTATGATGACGGGGCGGTCGGGTAGCCTAGTGGTTAAAGCGTTCGCTCGCCACGCCAAAGACCCGGGTTCGATTCCCGACATGGGTACAATGTGTGAAGCCCATTTTTGGTGTCCCCCGCCTTGATATTGCTGGAATAATGCTAAAAGCGGCGTAAAACCATACTCACTCACTCACTCACTCACTTTATGGTGACACGCTACATTGTTCGAAGCAGCGTATGACACGGACACCCTCAAATACTCAGCGTACACTACGCCCTCCATATTTACACCCAGCATCCTCCATTCGTCAGCGTGATATATACATACGTCCTTCCTTATATACCCCATAAAGCCCCGTCCTTCAGGGTGATTTATAAACTGCATCCCTCCATATATACCCTGTACACCCTCTATCCTTCAATGTGACATGTAGACTACGCCCTTCCATATTTCCTAAAACACCCCCGTCCTCCAGTATGATATGTTCTCTACGTGGTATATATATATGTCCCCTTCACCCTCCGTCCTTCAGGGGGATATATACACTACGTCCCTCCATATATAACCCGTACACCCTCCGTCCTTCAGCGTGATATGTACACTACGTCCCTCCATATATACTCCCTACACCCTCCGTCCTTCAGGGTGATATGTACACTACTTCCCTCTATATACACCCCCTACACCCTCCGTCCTTCAGGGTGATATGTACACTACTTCTCTCCATATATACCCCCTACACCCTCCGTCCTTCAGGGTGATATGTACACTACGTCCCTCCATATATACCCCCTACACCCTCCGTCCTTCAGAGTGATCTGTACACTACGTCCCTCCATATATACCCAATACACCCTCCGTCCTTCAGGGTGATATGTACACTACGTCCCTCCATATATACCCAATACACCCTCCGTCCTTCAGGGTGATATGTACACTACGTCCCTCCATATATACCCCATACACCCTCCGTCCTTCAGGGTGATATGTACACTACGTCCCTCCATATAAACCCCCTACACCCTCCGTCCTTCAGAGTGATATGTACACTACGTCCCTCCATATATACCCCATACACCCTCCGTCCTTCAGGGTGATATGTACACTACGTCCCTCCATATATACCCCCTACACGCTCCGTCCTTCAGGGTGATATGTACACTACGTCCCTCCATATATACCCCCTACACCCTCCGTCCTTCAGGGTGATATGTACACTACGTCCCTCCATATATACCCAATACACCCTCCGTCCTTCGGGGTGATATGTACACTACGTCCCTCCATATATACCCCATACACCCTCCGTCCTTCAGGGTGATATGTACACTACGTCCCTCCATATATACCCCCTACACCCTCCGTCCTTCAGGGTGATATGTACACTTCTTCTCTCCATATATACCCCATACACCCTCCGTCCTTCAGGGTGATATGTACACTACGTCCCTCCATAGATAGATAGATATTCTTTATTTCCTCCAATTGAATGAAGATTACAATATGCAGATATAATTATGTTACATGTTTAACATGAATTGGGGGTATATTTACACATGTGCATAAACATACAAGTTTTTTAGCAGGTATCGCCATTTTCTTATAAAGCGGCTTACATTAATTATTACTTCTGCCAACACATCTCTTTCTAGTTCCATAATACTTTCTATTGGACATCCACCAAGTAAAAACGCAAGAATAACATCATCTTCTCCCAGATCTTAACAAAAACATTTACATCCAGGATATCACATATGGTGTTAAAAAGTAAATTTCGGTCATTCATATTGACCGTGCAAGACATAAACAAGTGCTTTACAATATCATTGGCAACAGTTTTACAATAGCATTCTCTAGAGACAATTTCAGCTGATCCATAGACTACAAGCCTTGCAATATTAGTTGAATGGTTATACTTCTCCAAGGCTAGTTTCCAGAGATAGTAGTCGTTACTTGATCCTATTCTAACATATCTTGACAGACTGAGTCTTGAATTAAGATGGACATAAAATATATCATCTCGATCAGATTTAATAGCATCATTCACGGCCTTGGACCGGCATTTCTTATCAATAAATTGACAGTTATTGACGTAGTTAACAAGTGTATCACTTAGGTTATGCTTCTGTACAAGTTGTAGCATATTATATATCGGGGATTTTCTACTCCATACATTGCATATAAAACTATCTGTACACATAAATTGACCCAGGCGAACTAGAAACATTACTTTAAAAACGCAGTTATACTTTGCATTGCATAGCTTTCCTAAGAAGTAGAGTGCTCTTTTATCTATGTAATACTGTAGTGGCATGATGCCGATAGCATCCAGTACAACAATACTGGGAGTGCGCCTGTGTAGTCCCTGGACTTTTTCTTACAAAATTGACGTTGTACAACTTCAAGTATTTCATACTCTTTAAGAGGAAGTTTACCCCACACGCTGCATCCATAGAGGCCACATGATAAGATTACCCTCTCCCAGATACGTGCTGCAGATAAAGGATTCAGGCCACCAAAATACAACCCATTATTATGGTTACTGTTGATGAGTACACGTAACCTTTCACAAGCAGATTTTTTACGTTCAAGTGATGATTTATCTGTACTAAGATAACACCTGCATATTTAATAGATTTCCTTTGTGGAACATGCATGTCGCCAATTGATACAAACGTACTTCCTGGCTGAGGCGACTATGCTTGTCGTAAGAGGCGAGTAACGGGATCGGGTGGTCAGGCTCGCTGACTGGGTTGATGCATGTCATCGTATTCCAAATGCGTGGATGGATGCTCATGATGTCAGTCACTGGATCGTCTGGTCCAGACTCGATTATGTACAGAACACCGTCATATAGCTGGAATATTGCTAAAAGCAGCGTTAATCAACAAACAAACAAACAAACAAACAAAACTTCCTGGCTGGCCTCATTTTCATATTTATCTGAGTGAGTATGGTTTTACGCCGCTTTTAGCAATATTCCAGCAATATCACGGCGGGGGACACCAGAAATGGGCTTCACACATTATACCCATGTCGGGAATCGAACCCGGGTCTTCGGCGTGACGAGCGAACACTTTAACCACTAGGCTACCCGACCGCCCCCATATTTATCTGAAAGTGATACCAGCGAGTGAATGAGTGAGTTGTGTTTAACGCCGCTTTTAACAGTATTCCTGTCATATCAAGGCCTGTGAGCTTAATGTGGGAGGAAAGCGCCAAGTGATGCAGGTCGTTTACCACTTCGGTGAAACCCAAGAGCACGGGTATGGTGCTGACAAACCTAGAAACATAATCGGGGCGAACCGGGATTCGAACCCACAATCATAGGTTTCTGGCGTGCCCAAGGGACGCAACTCTGCACAGTGAATCGCGTCGCCTTAGATGACTGGCCCCCCCGTGCCCCCCGTGCCCCCCCGTGCCCCCCAGAATCATACCAAGTTTACCGTATTGGTTAATCGCATTGGCAACACTGCCTATTATATACTAGTGGATAAATTAATGTGCACCATTAATAATCACATTGAAAAAAACATGCCGTGAATCTTTCAGAATCGTACATGAATCTACGACAGTAGTTGAGAGGAATCGATTACAAGAGCACAACCGACCATGGTGTCCAACTGGAGGCCTTACGTCGAGTTTGCCTGCCAGTTGATCGAACTCCAGGCCTGGCATGGTCACGACATCTGAGGTTCAGGTAACAGACCCGTGGTTAGTTATCTTCACAGGTGTGTCCAGGTATCATCTTGACAGCAGTGATGGCCGTCAGCGTGTTTATCGACGTCGGATTGAACGTTACGCTGACGCGTGTTTCTCAACGATCTGGACCTGCACAGGATCCCTCTTGTGGTCATCAGTGGCAATTGGACAGATATACTTGGCCTGCTGTTTCCCCATCGAACATCGTTAACGCCGACTTCCAAACCAACCAGTGCGACGGTGTTGATCCAGATGCGACGGACCTGGGTCTAGATCTATAGAATGACATCTCACAGGCCTTCCTCAACCATCTCGCTTCGTCAACGAGGCACCCTGATCAAGCTTGTGTCAGGGCTAATGCTGGCCATGCCCGATACTGACCTGTGAACTGACAACAGTTATAATTACTGACCCCACACCGCGCCACATGACGTTTACAGGGTGTCATGTGTTGACACCGTCATGATGTGTTCATGTTGCATCGACATCAATATAGTGTTCTGTTGCAAAATCGTTCATTGTTTCCGTTTATTTCACTGATAGTCGATGATGCAGAGGAATTTATTTCTTCCAGCATATGATAAAGTAATACAATAAAGTTTATCAAAGCAGCGTTTCACTCGCTCGCTTTTTCCCACTGCGGGGTACGGGTGGCCCAATCGCCTTCAGGTGCCGCAGTTCATTGTGCAGAGTTGCGTCCCTTGGGCACACCAGAAACCTATGATAAATTGGTTAGGATCCTGATAAGGCCGATTAGGTTTCAAGGTTTGTCGGCACCATACCGTGCTCGTGGGTTTCCCCGAAGCAGTGAACGTCTGAGACCTGCATCACTTCGGGCTTTCCTCCCACATTAAGCTGACACGCCGTGTTATGACTGGAATACTGTTTAACAATACTTAAAGCACCGTTAAACCCAACCCACCCACTCCCCACTGTTGAGTCGCGAGTTACCCCTCTCACGCACTCACATACCCGTCGATAGAAAAAAGAGGCCTAGTTATAAAAAGATTGAGAATTTAAGGCTAAAAAAATTATAGCCTTGGTTCTCAGGCACTGCCCACATCACCATAAAATTCATTTCACGTTTCGTTTTTATTTCAATTTTCAATTTATTTTGTGCATTGTGTTTAAGTATAAGGATTTTTGTATTTTTTTTGAAAATGGAAATAAAAACAAAACGTACGGCAGACTTGATGATGATGCGGGTGGTGCCTGTGAACCAAGACTATTATTTTTTTAGCCTAATACGCCTGGTTTCCGTTTCACATGATTCGTACCACCACGACTATTGTGTTCAGATCGCTTTGTTTAATATGCACACAAAGGCACATATATTAAACACACGGAAATATTTACATGACGATGTTGTCAAGGAAGTAACTTGCAGTTGTCTATATATAAAGCCATGCAAGCAGAGTCGCCTCTAAAGGGAACCTGCTCGGAAGCCGCGTAGGATTGCCGAGTAAAACACGTGTCCTTATTTATAGACTTCTAACTGTTGGTTTGGTTTTTCGGAACACTTCTCTAAAGCCTCACACACGACCATGGCCTGCTGTGGAGTTGTGTTGTTGTGGCTATTGAGCACAACGTTGACGGGGACGACAACGGCATACAAACACGTGGTCTTCATGCATGGTGTGCTGGCTGGGACTGAGGAATTCACGCTGCTCGTCAAACAGCTGCAGACTGTGAGTTATCCCTATAAATTTTGTTTGTTTGTTTTTGCTTGCTGCTCTCAGCAATATGACATGTACACACCCAGCTTTATGTCGGCAGTCTGTTAATAATCGAGCCTGGACCAGACAATCTTGTGATTGACATCACGAGAATCTATCTTCGTATCTGGAATACGACAGCATTTGCGAAACTAGAAAGGTATGCTGCCTACAACGTACTACGATTCTTTTGGGTTTTTTAAAAAGAAAGAAAGGGGTGTGGGTGAGTATCTAGACCCCATGACATTTCAGGGACACATGGGGCGGTCTGGAAGCTTTGTGGTTAAAACATTCCCCCGTCACGCCGAAGACCCGGGTTTGATTCCCAACATGGGTGCAATGTGTGAAGCCCATTTTTGGTGTCCCCCGCCGTGATATTGCTGGAATATTGCTAAAAGCGGCGTACTCACCCACTCACTCACTCACTCAGGAGCATATTTTGTATATTATATTACACAAACACTCTTATATATGTATTGTGCTTGAAATAATTAAATTTTAAGGGGTATATTTTCAGCCAGTTTCTTCCGCATCTGACAATTGAGCCCTCGTCACCCATGCTCTCGGTATAATTAAACCAATAAGGTGACATCACGCTTCTGTTATTGCAGTTGATATTAAGCCAGGAATTCACTTGGCATTCAGAACAAGTTAAACTGAGGTAACTATATATGCAAAACTGCAGAGACATTGCATAAATAACCATGACATTGCGTGTGTTTTTTGGTAGAAGTCACGCAAATCTTTTGATTCAGGAAGTAAATCAACTCACTCCTTCGGACTGTTTAATTCTTCTTCCGGAATCCACAAGTTCTCAAGATGTCCCCTTTACTTAAAGCAGTCGATATTATTCAGCTAAAATATAACCTATTTCGTCGAGCTTCGTCGGGCACCAAAACCTAAATTCTCTTTTCCAAATCCACTGAGCATATCAATATCCTTTTCATGTACCTTGTTCTACTTATCTCTATCTACAACGAAGAAAATCGTTTACACGCCTCTAGCTACGTCGAAATAAACATTTCATGTTCAATATTCAAACAGCTCAGTTTATCGAAAAACCTCAGCTTTGGCGATAACCCCTTTTCTTCAGAAGTCATTCGACATATTGTTTCAAACTCTTTTTAACAATCCTGTGTTAATGGTGAAAATATTAAAAATATTGTCATGGGACTTGTAAGGGTGTTTGTAATCAGATGAATAATCAAAACACTATTTGGTATCCTCATCGCACATGTCATGTCAAAATGTAAACTTAACACCTATACAACCGGTATAACCAACAGGACCAGTATAAGTTTCCGATACAACACTTTAATGTAAACACAAACGTTACAAATGCAATGTATAATGCACTGAATGTGAACGTTTAAACAAGTATAATAGTGAGTGAGTGAGTGAGTTGGGTTTAACGCCGCTTTTAACAGTATTCCAGTTATATCGCAGTGTGTCAGCTTAATGTGGGAGGAAAGCCCGAAGTGATGCAGGTCTCAGACGTTTACCACTCCGGTGAAACCCACGAGCACGGGTATGGTGCTGACAAACCTAGAAACATAATCGGGGCGAACCGGGATTCGAACCCACAATCATAGGTTTCTGGCGTGCCCAAGGGACGCAACTCTGCACAGCGAATCGCGGCGCCTTAGACGACTGCCCCCCCCCCCCCCCCCCCCCCCCCCCAAGTATTATAGCTAAAATGCATAGAATTATCACAAAAAATGCCCGCGTGTTATCAGAAATCTGGAGACCACTGTAACTTGATAGCAGTCGTCTTTTCCTTAACAACGGTGTTATCGTTTCTATTCCTGTGTAGTATCACTTTTGTTAATAGGGGAATTTACACAGTTTATTATGATCAATAGGTAATTATCTTGATACTATTCCTATTCCTTTCAAACAGCAAACATTTTATATCAGAAAATGCCTTTGTAAACGCATGAAGTTATTGATTTAGTTGTTGTTACAGTTCAGCGTTCTCATTGTGTGTAAACACAAGGGTAAACAGATAGCGGGAAACTTTATCACCGTGATAACAAATAATATAAAGATCAAATAAATAGACATGTCACATCGAAACTGAACAGGACATATATATCCCGTAACGCGATCCCATTGAATGTTAACAAATGGTTTTCTTGTCAATAGGGTTACGAGAGCATGTCGGTATCAATAGTAGTTTCCTTGATATCTTCCTGGTGCTGTGTACTGTTGTTTCGGGTCAAGGTTAAGGTTCTTTGAGGACTTTAAAGTGTCAATATAAGCAGTAATGATTCTGTTAACATACCCTGTTTTATGTGTGTGTAGTATACCTCGCTTTGAACAGTGTTTGTGTTTCGTTAAGGTTTCATTCATGTGAGTTGAAGCCCAGAGGCAGGACGGTAGAATAGTGAGTGAGTGAGTGAGTTGGGTTTAACGCCGCTTGTAACATTATTCCAGTTATATCACGGCGTGTCAGCTTAATGTGGGAGGAAAGCCCGAAGTGATGCAGGTCTCAGACGTTTACCACTTCAGTGAAACCCACGAGCACGGGTATGGTGCTGACAAACCTAGAAACATAATCGGGGCGAACCGGGATTCGAACCCACAATCATAGGTTTCTGGCGTGTCTTTATAGTGCTAGCTCACTGAGATACCATGCCGCAGTTTAACATGAATACCCCACTCAAAAACAGTATACTGACTGTGAGACGACCAGTCCTTGTCGAGCGCCAGGAAGGGTAACAACAAGTACCATCTTTTAACGTTTTCTTTGGTATGACGCGGGCGGGGATCGAACCCCGACCTTCTGCTTTCCGGGCGGACGCTCTACCACTAGACCACGGAGGCGGTCGGGAGAAACTGGGGTAGAGCCCATGTCACTTACTGATACAACTCCCAATAGTGTATTATAAAAGGAACCATTTGCGTATCATATTATTTAACACCCAAACCATGTCTGAGCGCAAGTAGTATCTCCTTCGAGATATCACCACAATTATGTTCCATCACAAAACTTTCCAAGCCTTTGTGCTATCATCGGTTACCATGACAACACTCTCATGCCATCCCTTACACTTTTGACACTGAAACTGGGTAGCTGTATATTTTACACCAAAGGTACTGCTTAATACTGTTAACAAACTGAAAGAGATGGACGAATGATTTTGGATGATAAATAGAATCTTAACCTCGTGTCTGAGATATGAAATATATCAACTCTTATCGATAAATGTCTAAAACTCATCGATAAGCCTCGGGGATAAACTTGTATCTACTTGTGTTGATATATTTGATATAAGTTGACACTCAGGTGACATTCTCTATGTGAAGCTTCATCTTCAGTCAGCATCCCTGAACCGTACCAGGATATGCTGGTCGCGGGCTCGAATCTAAGACATGATTATGACCCTTGGCAAGTCAGAGGGACACAGGTGGCCCATTCGTGTGAGGCGTCGCAACTCGCTGTGAGTGAGTGAGTTGGGTTTAACGCCGCTTTTAACAGTTTTCCAGTTATATCATGGCGTGTCAGCTTAATGTGGGAAGAAAGCCCGAAGTGATACAGTCTCAGACATTTACCACTTCGGTGAAACCCACGAGCACGAGTATGGTGCTGACAAACCTAGAAACATAATCGGGGCGCACCGGGATTCGAACCCACAATCATAGGTTTCTTCAACTCGCTGTGCAAAATTGCGTCCCATGGACACACCAGAAACCTAGCGGGTTCGAATCCCGATAAGCTCCGATTATGTTTCTAGGTTTGTCATGTACCCTTGCTTTTGGGTTTCAACAAAGCAGTAAATATCTGAGACCTGATTCAATTAGGAGTTTCTTCCCACATCAAGCTGACACACGGTGATATAAGTGGAATACTGGTGGAAGCCACGTTAAACCCAACACACTCACTCACCTTTCTTGAAAATAGAAAACGCGATTTTTATACATCATTAGTATGATTCAACCTTGCTTTCGATAATTAAAGATGAAAACATATTGTCTCATGCTTGTCATGTGATGGAAGAGGATGATACATCTGTTTCCCAGAGAATCACGAGTGTCAGAAATTTATAAACTTCGCATATATCCTTTCTGGACACGCACACAAACGTGGGATTCTCACGTGATTTTGTTACATCCTTACTCATGCTATTAATAATTATCCAACAGTGGTTATACTTGTTGAGCATGTATGCTTCACCCCTCGACATAATTATAGCTAACGAAATTCCTGCTGTGCCAAAGACCTATTATATTAGTTACCGGCACGGGTGGCCAAGACGTCTAAGGCGCTGCATTTCGCTGTGCAGAGTTGCGTCCCTTGAGCACAGCAGGCACCTATAGCCGTTGGTTCCAATCCCGATTTTCCCTGATTATGTTTCTAGGTTTATCAGCACAATACCCATTCTCGTGGGTTTCACCAAAGTGGTACACGTATGCGACCTACATCACTACATCACTTTGAATACTGTTAAAAGCGGCGTTAAAGTGGAAAGTGTAAAAAGCACAGCTAATCAGTGACGTCATGGTAACGTAACACGGAACTACATTTTACGTCGCAATTACAAGGGGTCGTGAAACGTCCTTGCGTGTTAAGTGGGGAGAAATATTACGTTAGGTACACATTGACAAGGAAAAAAATAATGATAGATGGTAGTTTATGGAGTTAATATCACTTCCTGCCGTTTGTTATTCTCTCGGATATGTTTCCTTAAAAACTGTAAATTTCTCATTTAACTCGTCAATCGAGACTATTTCTTTCGCAAAGCGCCATTTTTGTTACTTCACCAACGTGTATTCTTTCGCTTCCAACAGCGGTTTCCTCGTTTTCAAGACTATTTTTTGTTTAAGTTGATTCTGTATTATAATCATTATCTAAATGTATGATATAGAATTTTCGTGACCCTAAATACTTTTTGTTACTTTTGTTATATTTTTTAAGATTTTGCAGACACGAAACTACTTTTTAGTCGCAAATACAAGGGGTTGTAATGTAATGATATAATTTAATTTTCTGGCAAAGTACACAAAAAGTATATAATAAATAGGATGTTCCATGTGTCTCGTGAAATATCATATTTCTCTCATCTCGTGACGGGGGGAAAAGGAGATATATCGGATATTCGATCCCCGACCGCGTCATACCAAAAGACGTTAAGAGATGGTACTTGTTGTTACCCTGTCTGGCGCTCGGCATTAAGGGGCTAAAACAAGGACTGGTCGGCTCAGTATACTGTGTCTGAGTGGGATATTCATGTTAAACTGCGGCATGGTATCTCAGTGAGCTAGCACTATAAATCGGCATCAGTCCGGACTAGTACAAGCAGCCGCACATACATATACGTGCATGCACGTCGCTAAATAAGTGCAATAATCTTGGATGCGACGTTAAACCCCATTTCACCGCACCTAATAATCTCCTCCTCATGCGTGCGCGTGTATGTGTAATATGATCAGTAATCAAGGGTAGATCACAAGGTGTACACTCGCATGCACCTGTTTGAATACACATTGATATAGAAGAGGTATAAAATCATCTGATACGTCATCTCATGCCTCTCTGTGTCCTTCTCATTCAACACCCCTCTGTCAAACCGTATCTCTGTAAAGGATAAAAACCTCCTCAGTCTTGACTGAGAATGTGAGCCCGGGTCATCGGGAAATTAGGTAGGGTCGACCCCGACGCCCCGGGCTTACATTCTAAGTCAAGGTGGAGGAGGAGGGTTTCATCCAACTTTTACACCGTCTAAATGCAAGAAATACCAGAAAGAATAAGAAGACATCGCGATATTATGGTGAAGCAATACTGTGCGTCGCGGTATAAAAAGAATTCGATGAAAGCGTGCGAGAGAAAGACCACGTGCAGCATGTACACAACTGAGGTCATGACATGTAAGATAGAAGACCATTTCATCCCCGTTTGCTCAGTGGGAAAACGGTTGGTTACAAAAGGACATACGATATATGAGGTTGTAGGTTCAATTCTCGTCATGGAATTTTCATGTTAAGAGAATTGTGGCTTTCATCCAATCAAAAAACATAGAAGTTCAGAGGGTATATTCTTAAAGCTGGGGAATATCATTTCATACTCGCGGAATGCCTAGGGTTCTCTGGTTAATAAATACATTCGCACTTTATTAGCTTTGTAAAGAACCTACTTACACAGCAGTGCTGCTGCTCCCTATAAACGATATTGATATTGACTTGTCACTACACAGAGCTATGCCCGTGAAGATCCTGGGTAGAATAGGTCTTCAGTAACCCATGCTTGTCGCAAAAGGCGACTGTGCTTGTCGTAAGAGGCGACTAACGGGATCGGGTGGTCAGACTCGCTGACTTGGTTGATGCATGTCATCGATCCCAGTCGCGTGGATCGATGCTCATGATATTAATCACTGGATTGTCTGGTCCAGACTCTATCATTTACAGACCGTCGTCATATAGCTGGATTATTGCTGAGTGCGGCGTTAAACATCAAACCAAATCAAACCAAATAAACAGAGTTCCGGGCTGTTCCATAGTGTTTCCCATACTGTATACGTTGATTATTTCTCCCACGTGTGCATGGGTCACCCTCTATACGGTGATTATAGACGGTCATTAATTCTCCCACGCAGGATCACCCTCTATACGGTGACTATAGACGGTAACTTATTCTCCCACGCAGGATCACCCGGGCACGAACGTGACTCTCATCAGTTCCTACAGTGAGGTGCGCAGTGTAAAACCGCTTTGGGTGCAGGTGAACACCATCCAGTCCCAGGTTGCTGCGGTCATGGCGGACAACCCTGCAGGCATCCATCTTGTCTGCTTCTCCCAGGGTGAGTGATTGGATATGCTTACAGGGGTGGGTTTGTTTGTTTGTTGTTTAACGCCGCACTCAGGCAATACTCCAGCTTTATGACGGCGATCTGTAAATAATCGAGTCTGGACCAGACAATCCAGTCATTGACACCATGAGCATCGATCTACGCAAGTGTGATACGATGACAACCAAGACAGCGAGCCTGACCACCCGACCCCGTTAGACACCTCTTACGACAAGCATAGTCGCCTGTTATGGCAAGCATGGGTTGCTAAAGACCTATTCTACCCCGGATACAGATAACCTTGTTAGAGATGGCAGCCTCCTCTCAGTTTCAGTCTGAAACATAAATACTTTGTGTGAGATAGGTGGATGGTAATACACGCATCTCACTGTGTCTGTTAATATTATTTATTGCCAGTCTGACATATTGCAGGAATATCATGACGACGAGTACTTTTATTCTGGACCAGAACAAAACAGTGACTTGAAACCTAATCCACGCCTTCGGGGTTAGATGGAATGCACTCAAGCAGGGTAATGTGGCCCGCTTTCTTCCCCTGTGACCCGTGAAGATCCGGGGTATAATATGTCTTCAGCAACCCATGCTTGCCGTAAAAGGCGACTAACGGGATCGGGTTGTCAGGCTCGCTGACTTGGTTTGATGCATGTCATCGTATCCCAATTGCGTGGATCGATGCTCATAATGTCACTGGATTGTCGAGTTCAGACTCGATTATTTACAGACCACCGTCATATAGATGGAATATTGCTGAGTGAGGAGTAAAACAACAAACAAACAATTGATTTTTAAGCCTGTTCCTGTATCCCCACAAGAGATGGTGACACACTGCTTTCAGAATGAGGGGTGATATATTTCCCTCAGAGAGAGAGGTTTGTCCACGTTCTTGTGACAATGAAGTTGCCAATAAAACCTGATGTATTCCTTGTCGACTTTCAGGGGGACTGATATGTCGAGGTCTCCTGTCTGTGCTCCGTCACAACGTTGACACGTTCATTGCCCTCAGCTGCCCTATGGCCGGCCAGTATGGATGTGAGTATCCACCCTACGCAATCTGAGTAATCCCCGAAACAAACTGTGAGTATTCGCCGACATAATGTGTGAGTATTCCCCGACATAATGTGTGAGTATTCCCCGACATAATGTGTGAGTATTCCCCGACATAATGTGTGAATATTCTCCGACATAATGTGTGAGTATTTCCCAACATAATGTGTGAGTATTCCCCAACATAATGTGTGAGTATTCCCCTACATAATGTGTGAGTATTCCCCAACATAATGTGTGAGTATTCCCCTACATAATGTGTGAGTATTCCCCAACTTAATGATTGAGTATTCCCCAACATAATTTGTGAGTATTCCCCAACATAATGTGTGAGTATTCCCCGACATAATGTGTGAGTATTCCCCAACATAATGTGTGAGTATTCCCCAACATAATGTGTGAGTATTCCCCGACATAATGTGTGAGTATTCCCCAACATAATGTGTGAGTATTCCCCAACATAATTTGTGAGTATTCCCCAACATAATGTGTGAGTATTCTCCTACATAATGTGTGAGTATTCCCCTACATAATGTGTGAGTATTCCCCAACTTAATGTTTGAGTATTCCCCAACATAATGTGTGAGTATTCCCCTACATAATGTGTGAGTATTCCCTATCATTAGTCTGTGAGAGCTTACCTTCAGTCAGTGATTCGGGCTTGTTGCATCTCTTTATTTACCGCATTGTCAGCCCTATGATTAGCCCTATAGTTTCATTGGTTCACTGTTGTAGACTCGGATGACATCAAGAAGTGGTACGAGAATTATCTCGCAAAAAACCTTTACAAGTGAGTAGACTCAAACAGATATATCTGAGTTGATCTGTGATTTGCCATGTCTCGACCTTTTTTGCAATATAAATATTTCGATGATATTAACATAACCGACTCTCAAAACCTACAACGCTACACCTCCTTCCTACAACCGACTGTCTACACCTCCTTCCTACAACCAACTCTCTACACCTCCTTCCTACAACCAACTCTCTACACCTCCTTCCTACAACCAACTCTCTACACCTCCTTCCTACAACCAACTGTCTACACCTCCTTCCTACAACCCACTCTCTACACCTCCTTCCTACAACCAACTGTCTACACCTCCTTCCTGCAACCAACTGTCTACACCTCCTTCCTACAACCAACTCTCTACACCTCCTTCCTACAACCAACTCTCTACACCTCCTTCCTACAACCAACTGTCTACACCTCCTTCCTACAACCAACTCTCTACACCTCCTCCCTACAACCAACTCTCCACACCTCCTTCCTACAACCGACTGTCTACACCTCCTTCCTACAACCAACTCTCTACACCTCCTTCCTACAACCAACTCTCTACACCTCCTTCCTACAACCAACTCTCTACACCTCCTTCCTACAACCAACTCTCTACACCTCCTTCCTACAACCAACTCTCTACACCTCCTTCCTACAACCGACTCTCTACACCTCCTTCCTACAACCAACTCTCTACACCTCCTTCCTACAACCAACTCACTACACCTCCTTCCTACAACCAACTGTCTACACCTCCTTCCTACAACCAACTGTCTACACCTCCTTCCTACAACCAACTCTCTACACCTCCTTCCTACAACCAACTGTCTACACCTCCTTCCTACAACCAACTCTCTACACCTCCTTCCTACAACCAACTGTCTACACCTCCTTCCTACAACCAACTCTCTACACCTCCTTCCTACAACCAACTGTCTACACCTCCTTCCTACAACCCACTCTCTACACCTCCTTCCTACAACCAACTTTCTACACCTCCTTCCTACAACCAACTCTCTACACCTCCTTCCTACAACCAACTCTCTACACCTCCTTCCTACAACCCACTCTCTACACCTACCACAACCAACTGTCTACACCTCCTTCCTACAACCGACTGTCTACACCTCCTTCCTACAACCATCTCTCTACACCTCCTTCCTACAACCAACTCTCTACACCTCCTTCCTACAACCAACTCTCTACACCTCCTTCCTACAACCAACTGTCTACACCTCCTTCCTACAACCAACTCTCTACACCTCCTTCCTACAACCAACTCTCTACACCTCCTTCCTACAACCAACTCTCTACACCTCCTTCCTACAACCCACTCTCTACACCTCCCACAACCAACTGTCTACACCTCCTTCCTACAACCATCTCTCTACACCTCCTTCCTACAACCAACTCTCTACACCTCCTTCCTACAACCAACTCTCTACACCTCCCACAACCAACTGTCTACACCTCCTTCCTACAACCGACTGTCTACACCTCCTTCCTACAACCATCTCTCTACACCTCCTTCCTACAACCAACTCTCTACACCTCCTTCCTACAACCAACTGTCTACACCTCCTTCCTACAACCAACTTTCTACACCTCCTTCCTACAACCAACTCTCTACACCTCCTTCCTACAACCGACTCTCTACACCTCCTTCCTACAACCGACTGTCTACACCTCCTTCCTACAACCCACTCTCTACACCTTCTTCCTACAACCCACTCCCTAAACCTCCTTCCTACAACCGACTGTCTACACCTCCTTCCTACAACCCACTCCCTAAACTTCCTTCCTACAACCGACTGTCTACACCTCCTTCCTACAACCGACTGTCTACACCTCCTTCCTACAACCGACTGTCTACACCTCCTTGCTACAACCGACTGTCTACACCTCCTTGCTACAACCGACTGTCTACACCTCCTACCTACAACCGACTGTCTACACCTCCTTCCTACAACCAACTCCCTAAACCTCCTTCCTACAACCAACTGTCTACACCTCCTTCCTACAACCCACTCCCTAAACCTCCTTCCTACAACCAACTCTCTACACCTCCTTGCTACAACCAACTGTCTACACCTCCTTCCTACAACCGACTGTCTACACCTCCTACCTACAACCGACTGTCTACACCTCCTTGCTACAACCGACTGTCTACACCTCCTACCTACAACCGACTGTCTACACCTCCTTGCTACAACCGACTGTCTACACCTCCTACCTACAACCGACTGTCTACACCTCCTTCCTACAACCAACTCTCTACACCTCCTTCCTACAACCGACTGTCTACACCTCCTTCCTACAACCAACTCTCTACACCTCCTTCCTACAACCGACTGTCTACACCTCCTTGCTACAACCGACTGTCTACACCTCCTTTCTACAACCCACTCTCTACACCTCCTTCCTACAACCAACTCTCTACACCTCCTTCCTACAACCAACTCTCTACACCTCCTTCCTACAACCAACTCTCTACACCTCCTTCCTACAACCAACTCTCTACACCTCCTTCCTACAACCCACTCTCTACACCTCCTTCCAACATCCGGGATCTCCACAACAAAACAAACAGAGGCGGTCTCACGCTAAGCCGGAATCTTTATTGTATAGTATGAAAAGTTATCTGAAAGGTAAACAACGAGGTGACACCTGAACCGAAACAGCCTCAGTAAAATAGCTTATGATAATCAAATTCTTCAAGATAATGATGACTAAACATTTTAACACTTTTTTAACACAATTTCAAGTTAGTAACATATAACATGAGAAAGTGTTTATAAAAGACATGCTGCCAATTTTTAGGGTTGCAATTCTTATATATGAGACTGCAAATGAAATGCCTGTACCTTTATCGACAACATACGAGGGGTGTTCATTAAAGATTTCCCCTGACCCACTTCCGATGGACCTAGTGGAATGAAACTTGGCATAGGTATTTCTCCACATAGGAACAACCAAGAGTTACACACTTCTCCCATCGTTTTATGCAACTATGGAGACCTCGCTTGTAAAAGCCCTCATTTTGCGTCTCAAACCAGGACTTGACTTCAGAAATCAGTGTTTCATATTCTGTGAAACGTTTTCCCTTCAAAAATGACTTCATGGTTGGAAAGAGGTGGAAGTCAGATGGTGCAAGGTCAGGAGAGCAAGGAGGATGTGGAAGGATTTCATAGCCACAGGACCGCGCTTCTGTCTGGGCAACATGAGAGTTGTTTACTGGAGCATTGTCTTGCAGGAGAAGGACACCCTTGATCAGCATGCCACGCCTCTTAAGCTTGATAGCGCCCCGCAATTTCCGCAGCAGTGAAGCATAATAAGCTCCTGCAATTGTTGTACCCTTTGCCAAGAAATCCATCATCACTACTCCGTGCTGGTCCCAAAACACCGTGAGCATGACCTTGCCTGCAGAGGGTTCGACACGTGCCTTCTTTGGGGATGGTGACTCCAAATGCTTCCATTGCATCGACTGAGCTTTAGTCTCAGAATCATAGTGATGGACCCATGTTTCATCCTGTATGATAAGTCTGTCAAAAAAGTTTGCCTGGTTCTGGCGTGTCCAGGGGACGCAACTCTGCACAGCGAATCGCGGCGCCCTAGACGACTGGGCCACCCGTGCCCCCTGAAAATGTATTTAAAAGTCAAGTATGAGTAATGAGCTACAGAAAGGGTTTTTCTTTTTGTGTATTGTATTCTAGACATTGACGGTCACAGACCGGTTATCTTTAAATACATGCAAACACATTCATAAAATAACTCATTATACTGATACATAAAATAATTCCAATGAAAATACAAACAATAAGACAAATAACATGACAAAAACATAAATGCAGACACAGTACTTGATACAGTAAACGTTATTCACGTTGAGCATACTGTTTAATAAGCATCCACGACTCCCATTACTAAAAAGACGTTACAATTTAAATTGGTACATAACGACTGGAATACCAGTGGTTGTCTTTGAAATAATTATATTTTAACCGAGACGTTTTATTATTATTATTATTATTTTATTATTCCGCATCGTTTTTTAAACATTTATTTTAACTACACGAAAGTAACGTATTATAGAGCAATCAAATATTAGACAGCAAGTTCATTGTTAAAGCAGAGTATTAAAGTTAGAATGATTTTGAGCAAGTTTAACAAAATGGAAAAATAACAAGTAAAGTCCTCACATCCTTTCTTCTACTGACACCTTATTCCCACCTTATTCCAACAACCGATTTGTCCTGAGCCTTTATAAGATTCTACTCCTTCTTGATGCTGCTCTGTTGCGTTGTTGCAGGGTTTTGTATACCAAGAAAGGACAGGAGATTTCATTCGGCAACTACTGGATGGGTGAGTTACACTGTACTGTCGAGTGTGTTACACTGTGCTGTCGAGTGAGTAACACTATGCTGTCGAGTAAGTAACACTATACTGTCGAGTGAGTTACACTATACTGTCGAGTGAGTTACACTATACTGTCGAGTGAGTTACACTATACTGTCGAGTGAGTTACACTACACTGTCGAGTGAGTTACACTATACTGTCGAGTGAGTTACACTATACTGTCGAGTGAGTTACACTATACTGTCGAGTGAGTTACACCACACTGTCGAGTGAGTTACACTACACTGTCGAGTGAGTTACACTATACTGTCGAGTGAGTTACACTATACTGTCCAGTGAGTTACACTATACTGTCGAGTGAGTTACACTACACTGTCGAGTGAGTTACACTATACTGTCGAGTGAGTTACACTATACTGTCGAGTGAGTTACACTATACTGTCGAGTGAGTTACACTATACTGTCGAGTGAGTTACACTACACTGTCGAGTGAGTTACACTATACTGGGATCAAGAAGGTGGGATGTTGGGATCAGGAAGGTTGGATGCTGGGATCAGGAAGGCGGGATGCTGGGATCAGGAAGGTGGGATGCTGGGATCAGGAAGGTGGGATGCTTGGATCAGGAAGGTGGGATGCTGGGATCAGGAAGGTGGGGTGTTCGGATCCGGAAGGTGGGATCAGGAAGGCGGGATGCTGGGATCAGGAAAGTGGGGTGCTGGGATCAGGAAGGTGGGATGCTGGGATCAGGAAGGTGGGATGCTGGGATCAGGAAGGCGGGATGCTGGGATCAGGAAGGGGGGATTAGGAAGGCGGGATGTTCGGATCAGGAAGGTGGGATCAGGAAGGTGGGGTGCTGGGATCATGAAGGTGGGATGCTGGGATCAGGAAGGCGGGATGCTGGGATCAGGAAGGTGGGATGCTGGGATCAGGAAGGCGGGATGCTGGGATCAGGAAGGTGGGATGCTGGGATCAGGAAGGTGGGATGTTGGGATCAGGAAGGCGGGATGCTGGGATCAGGAAGGCGGGATACTGGGATTAGGAAGGTGGGATCAGGAAGGCGGGATGCTGGTAACAGGAAGGTGGTATGCTGGGATCAGGCAGGTTGGATGCTTGGATCAGGAAGGTGGTATGCTGGTATCAGGAAGGCGGGATGCTGTGATCAGGAAGGTGGTATGCTGGGATCAGGAAGGTGGGATGCTGGGATCAGGAAGGTGGGATGCTGGGATCAGGAAGGTGGGATGCTGGGATCAGGAAGGTGGGACGCTTGTAACAGGAAGGTTGGAACCCGGGATCAGGAAGGTGCGATACGCTCTATTGTATATCTTTATTGCATTAATTACCTGCCTAACTCAGTTCAATCAATGTTTCAGATCCCCATCACTTGACGGAGTATCGCAAGTATTCCCAGTTCCTCGCTGTCATCAACAACGACACAGAACAAGGAAAAAGTCAAAGTAAGATGGCGGGGAGGTTGTTACCGGATAATCCAAATGCCTAAATACAGTTTCATGTCCTTCTCAATGTCTTCCAAACAGCGATAACGGAAACTGACTACCAGGGTTCGAATCAGGGGAAAATATTATGTGGAGCTTATTAGGATGCATACAAAAATCCTCGGACGCTTTTTTTTCGAAAGTGAGGAGGGATGCAGGACATTTAAATTTTCTGTTTCTTTAAAACAAGAGCGATGGAGGAACCCTGTTTATTTTATTATGTTGTCACACTCAGAATACCAACACAACGGGACACACACTTAACCCGTCTCTTTGATACAATGTCAGTTGTTAAGCATGCCACATTACGGATAACATGTAATATTAAATATGGTGTCTTTAGTTGACGTATACGGTGTCATATTAGGTTAGCAGGAAAATGTTTTTCTGCTAACCTAATATGACACCGTATACGGCAACTTAAGACACCATAACGAATATATTATGCCGAAAAGATTGTTACTGACGGTATACGGGCTCATGTGGGGGTCAGTAGTTCTGCTCTCTGATTGGTCAATCTCACTTTGAGGCAAAATAATGCAGAAAGTTTGTAAAAAAAAATATGACAGGCGCAGGAGTAAAAGTGAAGCGCTGATGCTCGAGAAACACTTTCTTTTTTATCCTTAGTGACGTTGCGATGTTTTTGCTATGTCAAAGTGACTTTAATTCCCCAGGGCACCAGCCTCACTTGCTCAGCTTGTCTAGCCAGATGGTATAATTTCATTTGAAAGGTTGGATAAAACCACTACATGGAGATTTCCCCCATTATATCTTTATATTCATATTCCACCTGGATGTTTTAGAATTCTGCTTGATGATTGGTCAACCGTCGGTATCGAATTAGGCGATAAACCTAGTGTGTTCCAAATGAGAGGTTTCGAATCTTAATTTGACACCCATAACACTTGGTTTATCGCCACTCTCCCATTCGTTTTAAAGACTCCCTCGAAATAATGCATTGGTTGAATGTTTAGGTTTAATGGTCGAATTCAGGGATTCATTTACACAATTCCTACATTTCTCCTTAATACTTTCCTAGCTTTAATATGAACCCAAAACAAATCATACTGTGCAGACACCATGTAAGAATTATATGCAAACGGTCCTCACTTGATAAAATGAAGTGACTTTGCAACGCCTCTGTTAGCGACCTTCCTTTTGATATTCTTTTCCTGACAAGCTGATAAAGTAGCCGAATCATTTTTTTCAAGATAATTTATTTAATTATCAACAGACATTTTATTATCTTGGACAGTTTATTCTTTTCGATAAAATTCGGCCAACCCTCACCCATCCCCAGACTCTCTTAGAATATATAATGGTAGGTCCCTTATGACGTCATAATGTTCTACAGACACGGGTGCCCAAGCATTATGTTGCGGTATACATGGTAGAATACAACTTTAAAGGTGTGTCGCATTGCATTTATTTTGTCTTTGGTCGCCAGGTTTTCTATCTAAAATCAATGAGCAATATTCCAGCAATATCACGGCTAGGGACACCAGATATGGGCTTCGAACATTGTGCCCATGTCGGGAATCAAACCCAGGTCTTCGGCGAGACGAGCGAACGCTTTTACCACTAGGCTACCCGACCACCCCTCCGCGTCATACCAAAACGTGTTAAAAGATGGTACTTGTTTTTATCTTGTCTGGTGCTCGGCAATAAGGGGCTAAAGCTAGAACTGGTCGTCTCGGAGTCTGAGTGGGGCGTTCATGTTAAATTGCGGCATGGTATCCCAATTTCACGTCACCTCACCAAAGAGTTCGCCTCTGTTTTGTCATTGTATCATGGTAGAATGGACGTTCGAAACCTCAAAATTGAAAACACCCTTGATGTATCTGCTAATTATATGATTTCTTTACATTGACTACAGCTTTCGCTATTAATCATATTATTTTGCCCATTGTTGCAGTGTACAAGCAGAACTTCTCTCGCCTGAAGAAATTAGTGCTGATTGGTGGGCCAGATGACGGAGTCATCGGACCTTGGCAATCCGGGTAGGTGTTGGGAAAAAACAGCCATAATTACCATGAGCAATCCGGGTAGGTGTTGGAATATCACAGCCATAATTACCATGAGCAAACCGAGTAGGTTGTGGGATATAACAGCCATACTTTACCATGAACAATCCGGGTAGGTGTTGGAATTAGACAGCCATAATGACATCAACAATCCTGGTAGATGTTCGGATAAAACAGCCATAATTACAATCAACAATCCGCGTCGGTGTTCGGATAAAACAGCCTAATCACAATCAACAAGCCGCGTAGGTGTTAGGACATATCAGATATAATCACAATCAACAATCCAGGTAGGTGCTCGGATGAAACAGCCATAATTACAATCAACAATCCGCGTAGGTGCTAGGACATATCAGACATAATTACATAAAAAGTAGGCCTTGCGATATAACAGTCATGATTACCATGAACAATCCAGGTAGGTGATGGGACAACAGCCAACATTACCATCAACAATCAGGGAAGGTGTGGGAATACAATAGCCATAATTACCATGAACTATCCGGGTAGTTTCTTGACATAGAACAGTCATAATTACATAAAAAGTAGGCACTGCGATATAACAGTCATGATTCCAGACATGGCATCCATAATTACAGTAAAAATCCGGGTAGGTGTTTGAATAAAACAACTGTATTTACAGCCATAATTGCAGTCAAAACTTTAGGTCTTTGGATATAACAGTCATAATTACCATGAACAATCCAGGTAGGTGATGGGACATCACACCCAACATTACCATCAACAATCAGGGAAGGTGTGGGAATACAATAGCCATAATTACCATGAACAATCCAGGTAGGTGATGGGACATCACACCCAACATTACCATCAACAATCAGGGAAGGTGTGGGAATACAATAGCCATAATTACCATGAACTATCCGGGTAGGTTTTTGGATATAAAAGCCATACTTACAATCAACAGTCCAGTTACGAAGTTCGGACATAACAGCCATAATTACCATGAACAAACCGGGTAGACTTCAGCAGATAAAAGCCATGATAACGATCAACAATCCAGGTAGGGCTTGGAATAGATATGGCCATAATTACCACGTTGGTTTAATACATGACATGGAACAACGTTTTTTACCTTTAAATGTCGTTTGAATGAATCCTGTTTTCAGTATCCAGACACCTAAACAGACGAGATAGATAGATAGGTAGATAGACAGATAGATAGATAGATTGATAGATAGATAGATAGATAGATAGATAGATAGATAGATAGATAGATAGATAGATAGATAGATAGATAGATAGATAGATAGATAGATAATTTCTGTTTTCTTCAGACACTTCGGGATGTACAACTCAACCGAGACTGTTCTACCCATGGAGGAACAAAGGGTAGGTATTCCCCATCATCCAAGTGGTAAAGGTGTCGTCTACAATGAATGTTTGATTTTGATGGTCAAAATGCGAATAAAATCAGGTTTCTATTTACATTAGATTACTCAGAATCTCCTATTTATCATCCTACAAGTCATATAATTGTTTTTATCGTTACTTAAATGGTATTATTGTTATTTATTATATATTATATATTATATATATTTATCATGTTCCCAGTGGTATAAAGAGGACAGTTTTGGACTCCGTACCCTCAACAACAGGAAGGCAATCAAGATGCTCACATTCGCAGGCGTTACACATACCAACTGGCACAAAAACATGACCATCTACCAGCAAGGCATCAAGCCATTCCTCACATAAATACGCACAGAACTATCACACACCAACATGACCATCTGCCTGCTAGGCATCAAGCCATTCCTCACATAAACACACACAGAACTATCACACACCAACATGACCATCTGCCTGCTAGGCATCAAGCCATTCTTCACATAAACACGCACAGAACTATCACACACCAACATGACCATCTACCTGCTAGGCATCAAGCCATTCCTCACATAGACACACACAGAACTACACACACCAACATGACCATCTACCAGCAAGGCATCAAGCCATTCCTCACATAGGCACACACAGAACTATCACACACCAACATGACCAACTGCCTGCTAGGCATCAAGCCATTCCTCACATAAACACGCACAGAACTATCACACACCAACATGACCATCTACCAGCAAGGCATCAAGCCATTCCTCACATAGACACACACAGAACTTTCACACACCAACATGACCATCTGCCTGCTAGGCATCAAGCCATTCCTCACATGAACACACACAGACCTATCACACACCAGCATGACCATCTACCAGGAATACATCAAGTCATTCCTCACATAGACACACTGAACTATCACACACCAACATGACCATCTACCAGCAAGGCATCAAGCCATTTCTCACATAAACACGTACAGAACTATCACACACCAACATGACCATCTGCCTGCTAGGCATCAAGCCATTCCTCACATGAACACACAGAACTACACACACCAACATGACCATCTACCAGCAAGGCAGCAAGCCATTCCTCACATGAACACACACAGACCTATCACACACCAACATGACCATCTACCAGGAATACATCAAGTCATTCCTCACATAGACACACTGAACTATCACACACTAACATGACCATCTACCAGCAAGGCAGCAAGCCATTCCTCACATGAACACACACAGAACTGCACACACCAACATGACCATCTACCAGCAAGGCAGCAAGCCATTCCTCACATAGACACACACAGAACTATCACACACCAACATGACCATCTGCCTGCTAGGCATCAAGCCATTCCTAACATAGACACACACAGAACTATCACACACCAACATGACCATCTACCAGCAAGGCATCAAGCCATTCCTCACATGATCACACACAGAACTACACACACCAACATGACCATCTACCAGCAAGGCAGCAAGCCATTCCTCACATGAACACACACAGAACTACACACACCAACATGACCATCTACCAGCAAGGCATCAAGCCATTCCTCACATAGACACACACAGAACTATCACACACCAACATGACCATCTGCCTGCTAGGCATCAAGCCATTCCTCACATGAACACACACAGACCTATCACACACCAACATGACCATCTACCAGGAATACATCAAGTCATTCCTCACATAGACACACTGAACTATCACACACCAACATGACCATCTACCAGCAAGGCATCAAGCCATTTCTCACATAAACACGCACAGAACTATCACACACCAACATGACCATCTGCCTGCTAGGCATCAAGCCATTCCTCACATGAACACACAGAACTACACACACCAACATGACCATCTACCAGCAAGGCAGCAAGCCATTCCTCACATGAACACACACAGACCTATCACACACCAACATGACCATCTACCAGGAATACATCAAGTCATTCCTCACATAGACACACTGAACTATCACACACTAACATGACCATCTACCAGCAAGGCAGCAAGCCATTCCTCACATGAACACACACAGAACTACACACACCAACATGACCATCTACCAGCAAGGCATCAAGCCATTCCTCACATGAACACACACAGAACTACACACACCAACATGACCATCTACCAGCAAGGCATCAAGCCATTCCTCACATGGACACACTGAACTATCACACACTAACATGACCATCTACCAGCAAGGCAGCAAGCCATTCCTCACATGAACACACACAGACCTATCACACACCAACATGACAACCTACCAGCAAGGCATCAAGCCATTTCTCACATGAACACACAGAACTACACACACCAACATGACCATCTACCAGCAAGGCAGCAAGCCATTCCTCACATGAACACACACAGACCTATCACACACCAACATGACAACCTACCAGCAAGGCATCAAGCCATTTCTCACATGAACACACAGAACTACACACACCAACATGACCATCTACCAGCAAGGCATCAAGCCATTCCTCACGGACAATTACTTCCCTTCCCCGTTACATTCTTACTATATCAATTACATGAGTTCCAGTTGGAATGAAATAGAACTGACAAAAAAAAGAAAATAATTAAGCTGGGGGTAAGAGTATTCGGAATCACGGAAGTCATCACTCGTTTGTAAACATAACGGTCATTCGGTTACGAATTCAAATTTAAGCATGGTTGTGGCCCCCCTATCACAGTGGGGAGTTTTGACTTGTGGCAGCGATAGTTTAGAGAGCTCCGCGAACGGGCTATCGCTGTGAGGAGCTTTGGTGTGCCTCGTGTGACGTCAGACAGGACCGGAATATCTATCAACAGCACCTCTAAAATCGAGTATGTGATACTCATACTGCTGATACCACAGTTGGAGCAAGGGGACGCACCATCAGTGAAAGAACAGTTATGTCACGTCATGCTGCGGTCGGCTCACGTTGCCGCTTCTGACATGTGTTGACCACCGTGTCCTTTCCGGTGACCATAACACCTTGTGCATTAACGTTGTGATCTTGCATGTGTCAGTTCTGTGGAATAAATGATGGTTTCTCATATGTACATGCTCATTGTCGAAACAAGCTGTGATTTGTGTTTATGAAGTACAGTTTGCTCACTATCAGGATTGCGTTTATGATGTTGGTTAGTATAAACTCATTGGTTACCACATGAGTTTGTCAACATTGTGGTGGTTTGGTCTTTAAACTTCAGACAGTTGACAGTTATTACTTAATACTTTGTTTGTTTGTTTGTTTGTTGTTCAACGTCGCACTCAGCAATTTTCCAGCAATGTGACGGCGGTCTGTAGGTAATTGAGTCTGGACCATACAATCCAGTGACTGACATCATGAGCATCGATCTACGCAATTGGGAAACGATGACATGCATCGACCAAGTCAGTAAGCCTGACCACCCGATCCCGTTAGTCCCCTCTTACGACAAGCACGGGTTGCTGAAGACGAACAAGAAAGCATTGATGCAGGGCATCAAAGGTCCGCGCAAGATGTGATGACTCAGAAATGCATAATTATGTTGTTACTGGGATAAGGAATTAAACTTTACTGCAAAAAGAATATTAAACAGGAGAAAATGTAGCTTTAATATTCTACACGGATCTCCTTTATGGCAGAAGTAACAGGCATGAAGCTGCATGATTATATTTACATCAAATAAGTGAGTGAGTTGGGTTTAACGCCGCTTTTAACAGTATTCCAGTTATAACACGGCGTGACAGCTTAATGTGGGAGTAAAGCCCGAAGTGATGCAGGTCTCAGACGTTTACCACTTCGGTGAAACCCACGAGCACGGGTTTGGTGCTGACAAACTTAGAAACATAATCGGGGCGAACCGGGATTCGAACCCACAGTCATAGGTTTCTGGCGTGCCCAAGGGACGCAACCCTACACGGCGAATCGCGGCGCCTTAGACGACTGGGCCACCCGTGCCCCCACATCAAATAAGACAAGGCTGGTATTAAAAAAACAATATATATTAATAGCTCCGTTTGCATGTGGTGGCCGTAGTTTAAAGTAAGTAAATCGTATGAAATGGCAGCACTTTCTGGCACAAATATATACATGTGGAAAATGCATCGAAACAGACTACAATACGATGCATACAATCAAATAATATAACATGACCTTTGCACTTTATTATGTTTTACAAGTTTCATTGTTCTCTCCAAAAACTAACAGCTGACCTATCATCACCAGGGATTATTTCATGGGGAACAGGTTCAAACGGCGACAATGTATCATCACCACATAAATAATGTTCAGATTCACTTGTTTTCATAACAAACTGTAGGTAATTTTACTGTGGTAATTTATTACACTTCCCCGCCTTCTGAATTTAAAGCCAAAATGACCAATTAAGAAATTGGTTAACAAATTGATTAAGAGATTGTAAATTTTGAACAAGAGCGGAAGTAAAATTTCTGTGGTCGGCTCGGAGTCAGTATACTGTCTCTGAGAGGGGTATTCATGTTACACTGCGGCATGGTATCTCAGTGAGCTACACACACACACACACACACACACACACACACACACACACACACGTGCATGCTCGTCGCTGTATCAGTGCAATAATCTTGGACGCGACGTTAAACCCAATTTCACCTCGCCTCACCTGTTGTTAGTAAATTCTTAAATCTCAATCTGACAATTTAGATATGTTTGTTTGTTTGTTTGTTGTTTAACGCCGCGCTATATGACGGTGGTGCGTAAATAATCGAGTCTGCACCAGACAATCCAGTGACTGACATCATGAGCATCGATCTACGCAACTGAGATACGATGACATGCATCAACCAAGTCAGCGAGCCTGACCAACCAATCCCGTTAGTCGCCTCTTACGACAAGCATACTCGCCTTTTTACGGCAAGCATGGGTTACTGAAGACCTATTCTTCCCCGGATCTTCACACGAGCCACATACAAAGGAATGCACACTACAAATAACTGAGTCAGTGACCAGAATGGAGGTGGCAGCATTCTTCAATGTGGTCTATGAATTCACGTCATCAACCACACATAACCAAACGTTCGGTGACAACGGTAAGGAAACCCTCTGTTGTGGGTATATTGACGGGCTGACGTGGTGACTCGTAACAGCCACTGGTGGCGCTACAATCAATCCCAAGAATTCCAGCCTAGTTCGGCAAGGGTGGAAACTGGACCTTTATGGTCAGTTAACTCCCTTGCCTCGGGAAGATATACCGAGTAATGCTATTTGGGTTGACACTTCCAATTCTGTCTCCATTCCGTGGTCAGTGATTCATGCTACCCTTGCGAGTGGTTGCGTCATTAAGGTCACGCAGGTATGATATACGCTCGTTCGAGGCAGGCCTGGGCTTCCTCCAATGTTGGCCATGGTTACACCTGTGCTAAATATCTGTGCGATGTAAACTGACGGCTGAAGGGAACTTCATCATAACTTTAGTTTAAAAAACATGGTTGTAAAAGATGGATACATGAAGTACAATGTATTCAAAATATCAAAATCTAAACAAAATCTATATTTAAAATGAGTCATTCAGCATCCGACAGTTGCCCGAATTGTGGTTGGTAGCAAAAATAGGCTTTCAGCGTGATCGACAAAGGGCACACACATCTAAATTCGCTCAAGTTCAATGCCACGTCACATTATTAGCGTGCTACAAGACACGCAAAAACTCTGATGGCGTCACGTGTGATAGGTCGCCATTCTTTTTGGAAGATCCGGGGTAGAATAGGTCTTCAGCAACCCATGCTTGCCGTAAAATGCGACTATACTTGTCGTAAAAGGCGACTAACGGGACCGGGTGGTCAGGCTCGCTGACTTGGTTGATACACGATCGATCCAAATTGCATGCTCATGATATTAATCACTGGATTGTCTGGTCCAGACGCGATTATTTACAGACCATATACAGACCGTCATATAGCTGGAATATTGCTGAGTACGGCGTTAAACAACAAACCAACCAACCAATCTTCTTGGAGGGTCTGGATCAGTTCTTGTCGGTCGGGTGAAGATTGTTGTTGCTGTCGAAGACGAGGATTCATGGCATCCCAGAGGTGTTCTATGGGGGGCCGTGCAGGCTGCGGCAACACGCTGACGTTGTTGGCTGCAAGGCAGTTTAGTACGATTCGAAATGGTAGGACAATCGGACGAAGAATGTCAACCATGTAACGCTGAGCTGTCAAATTTCCTTTAACGATGACCACACCATAACACCCCCTCCACCATACGACACGACCTTCTCAAAGCAACATGCCGCTGTTCGTTCTCCCCTTAGCGGTAAACACGCTGTCTTCCATGAGCTCTGAACAGACAAAACCGTCTTTCATCAGTGAAGACGACCCTCTGCCAGTCACGTCGCTGCCAATGAGGTACAGTCCGGGCCCGTCTCAGTCTCTGACGACGATCTTGCACTGTCAATAACTGTCATCTGTAAGGTCGGTAAGCCCCAGTTCCTTGAGACCTGAATCGTCTGGCCACCGTCTGTCGACTAACCATATGCCCCAAGGCTTTCGTCGCTGATGACGTCACTGCCAGAATGCGATTCCGGAGATGCAAAGTACGCAAGTACCGGTCTTCATTGGGCTTAGTTACCCTGATTCTGCCTGTTCTTGGCCAGTCTTATATCTGCCCGGTCTGTCCTTAACGTTGCTTTAGGTAAGCAACCAAATGTTCTAGCAATGTAGGCATGGGTATCTCCCATCTGTATCATACCCAGGGTTCGCTCGTGTTCTTCGGGAGTCAGTCGTGGCATTTCTGTGGTGTTTTTTTGGTTTGTTTTTTTATCAGTGTGAGTGTCTGACATGCCGTCCGTATCATTCATATATCCTTATTGCCCATGTAGTTTTTGCTGCCAAAGCGCCACGTGTTTTTCACTTTTTTGCATTTTCTGCACACAAAAAACAAAACGTGCCCTGGGCGCGTATCCCTTTCTGTATAGAGCATTGTTGTGTTTGAACGATTTGTCTGCATTGATTTAGTTTGAATTTGTTTTTAAATTTTGGCAATTTTTATTTTTAAAGTGGTAAAGTTTCTTTTGGCCGTCAGTTTATATGTCTATGCAATACATCTGTATGTTATGTGTCAACGTATTGTATTGCTTTTGTATTTGCTATATGTGTGTTATAGCTCTGCCATTATAAGTTGTCAACCGATCCTGAGGGATGTGTGGCGTGATATACCCTATAGTGTGACCCTATGCACGTCAGGGTACTTCACACCATTCCATTTGCCCCGGGGGATCGGTTGACAACGAATTTATCAAACCGACATCCATTCATTCAGGTCCAGAATATATGTCCACAGTTTCACTGAGTATCACTGAGCAAAACTTGTAGCAGACGACAATAACGAACCGAGTTACTTCCCTTTGCCCAATGCATTCGGATAAACATCGCTTCATTTCAGAAACTCAACGATACTTATGAAGCAAGTTACCTGAGATGTGTTCCGATTAATTTCTCACCTGGCTACATGGCATATGTACCCCCGCCTATGAGGGCTGTATGGAAACTAGGGCTGGTACGAGTCCGAATTTACTACCCGGGTACCCACCCCCCTATTACCCGACCCTACCCGTGTACCCGTCCCAGCCCTAATGGAAAATCACTGCCGCTCCTCAACCAACCAGAAGCTACTATGTTAAGATAAATGGCATGTAATATATTTCTGTACAACACCTCTGCGTTATTCCTCTCTCTCAAAACAGTTGGAAACATACACCATGAATGAAAGACTTCTCACACTTTATACAGTGAATATAGGCAACATGTTAGTCTTATCACAGAAAGGTCAATCGTTATGGGAAAATGACATGATCCCGCGAACAATTAACAATGACAGGATACAGGGCAACACAATAGACTGTCACACAGTGAGACACATCTGTGGAAAGTCAAACAAACAGTTGACACTCACCTCCTCTAGGAGTATTCAATGGGAGTAAAGGGGGGTGTCGTTTTATACATGTGCACAACATCAACACCTGGTAAAAAGCTAGGCACCACACCTTTTTTCACATATGGTGAAGTTAAACGGAACTTTAAGTAATATACTACTCAAAAGAAGTTAAGGGTCACCAAATTCTTTCATGTTACTGTAACTAATCTGATATGGCATGACAGATTAACTATTGTGATATGAAATAATCGGGTGGTCTTTAACTTGTTTTGAGTAGTATATTCCCATGTGCATTGATCAGAATATATGCTTAAGATCCCACCAAAAAGTGATGAAAAAATTGCGAAAGTTCCATGTGTATTATTCTAGATAGACACACACGTACTGTTTTACATACCATCTTTGGGGCGGTCGGGTAGCCTAGTGGTTAAAACTTTCGCTAGTCACGCCGAAGACCCGGGTTCGAGTCCCGACATGGCTAATGTGTGAAGCCCATTTCTGGTTTCCCCGCCGTGATATTGCTGGAATATTGCTAAAAGCGGCGTAAAACCATACTCACTCACTCACTTTATAACATACTGAAAAAGCAGCGGCGTCAATTTAAAGGGTACTCAAATAAATATTGTCATTGAACAGTCACAAAACATTGTATCAGATAATCTATTTCGTTTTCTGAATTTAAACATATAAGTATGACACATTGTGAATAGAAAAATGCGTTTCACGAAAAAAATAATACAGGATACGATTATAAAAACATGACTTATATTTTTTATGAGATAACATGAACTGCTCGGTTAAAAAAAGTTTACTTGAAAATATGACTTGACCAAACAATTACAAACGTTATTATTGGGTTGAAAACGCCCGTCGTGAGGTACTCATTGATATGAAACATACTGTAAACTACGTTTATAACGAACATGCTTATAAAGAAATGACCGATATAACGAAGCTATTTTTAGTCCCGACTATTTGTTGTATATATGCTATATTTATGCTTATAACGAACTATGGTTATTACGAACTAAATTCAGTGGTCCCCTCGAGTTCGTTATAACCGGAGTTTACTGTATTATATCGCCAATGGTTTGTAGCCACTAAACATGGTTTTGTACTTTCTTTTTCCCGGCAGTTTAGTAATGGTGCTTAACATTTGTATACTATACATGGTGTGATGTACCCTGTGAGCCTATGTTCCCGAGGACCCGTGAAGATCCGGGGTAGAATAGGTCTTCAGCAACCCATGCTTGCCGTAAAAGGTGACTATGCTTGTCGTAAAAGGCGACTAACGGGACCGGGTGGTCAGGGTCGCTGACTTGGTTGATGCATGTCATCGATCCCAATTGCGTGGATCGATGCTCATGATATTAATCATTGGATTGTCTGGTCCAGACCGCCGTCATATAGCTGGAATATTGCGGCGTTAAACAACAAACCAACCAACCAACCATGTTCCCGAGTCGTCGGGGGAATGGTACATAAGCTCACACACAGGGTACATCACACCTTATGCCCCGAGGGATCTGTTGACAACGAAATTATCATACTGACAGTTATTCATACAGACCCTGAATATAAGTATGTCCACATGTATGAATATATATATATATATATGAATATATATGAATATATATATATACTCGTTACATTTGTCTTGAGAAGCAGACGATGCAAACGAACCGAGTTACTTCCCTTTACCCAACTGAATTCGGAATTATACATAGGTTCATTTCAGAAACTCGTCGATACTTAAGGAGGTTACTTGTGTTCCGATTGATTCTCAGCGGGCTACGTTGAAAATAAATGCCCGCTCCTTAACCAATCAGAAGCAAGTATATGAATGTAAGGTAAGATTCACCCCACACATTTTGTTAATCTGAAGCGTTATCACAGAACACAAGGGTAAACTTCATCGTTAGTATTTGTCTGTGTCCACTTTTTCCGATATTCCCTTATATAAAGGAAATGCATTCCCACGTTACCCACGTGCTAGAAAATGGTGCAAATGAACAAAACAGTAAGAAATCCCATATGAAGGAACCTTCCCAATTGCTGATCTGTCTTTAGAGCAGAATTCACCTTTGGGAAGTGAACACCGGTACCATTCCACACTTTCCGATCCCCAACCGTTTCGCTACTGTTCCTCCGCCCATTCGACATTCAGGAACTTCTTTTTGATGACAATATTGGCCACCCCAAAGTTGGCCCTCCCCGGGAGTGTGAAGCTGATGGCCGTGTTCGTGTCGGTGTCGAGCAGGGTGGGGTCGAACCATACAGTATCCCGGAGTAGCGCGTCCCCGGACTCACCCCCAACTATGACCACCCCACCCCGGCATTTCATAGTGCCGAACCGACGGCGGTTAAAGTTTGGGATTTTGGACACAATTTTACACCGGTACTCATCATCGTAGTCCATAACGGTCCCGTCGGTGCAGAAGATGTAGATGCGTTTGTCGTAGAAGATGCTGCGGGTCAGCTTGCAAGGCAGGCATAGATCGCCAATAAAGTACGTGCTCTGGAACCGGGTGTCGAAACACTGGATCGCGGAGGTCTCCTTTTCGTCGCTCTGGAGACCCCCGAACACGAATATCTTTTCCTTGGAGACCGCCGCCGACATCGACCTCACAGCTTGAACGAGACAGCCCACCTTCCGCCACGTGCACGTGCTGAGTTGAAACTCCTCAACATCGCATAGCGTCCTTTTTGACTCCTCGTTTGCCCTGTCGTCATAGCCTCCCAGGACATACAGCGATTCCCCGACGGCCACCATGACGTGACGTCGACGTCCTGCTATCATCTGGGTACATTTATGCCACTCGTTGTGATCAGAGTTGAACCTGACTAGGCTCTGTGGCTTTTGAGAACCTCCGGACACGAATATATCATTGCCGTACACGGTGCAGCAGTATTCGCGACCTAGCTTGAACAGTAGCGGACAAAGGATGAACCATTTCTTCTTCCGGTTGCTGTAACAAAGAACGTCCGTGACCTTCTCCCCGCCTTCGGAGTACCCCCCGAGTAGCACGAGCACCTCCTCGCTGTGGGTGTGGTGGCGGTGGAAGATCCTGGGGGAGGTGAACTCATGTCTCCGGGCGGGGAGCATATGGTAGCTGACTGCCTCGCTCACGATCCGCTGGCATCGCCTGCTTTCCTTCACTATCGGGTGCGACTGAACCTCGTTGATGAGGTACTCGGAGGTCACCAAGGGTAGACGGAGGTGCGGGATGAGATCATCCATGGAGCGGGACCTCCCTTCAACGTCCGCGTTACACCACGAGAAGACGGCGTCACAAACGTTCTCCTCTTGCGGGACGTTCAAGTCGTCGCTGGAGATGATTTGTTGCAATTCCTCTTTGTCTAAGCAGTAAAAGTTTTCCGATTTACTTATTTCTTGAAAATGGCTGAGTATGCACGCATACGATTTCTGCTCTAACAGTTTGCACACATGCGCACGAGCGATTTTCCACAATGCTAAACAATTTTCTGAACAAATATGGCCCATTAAGAATTTCTCGCATTTCTCCGTCAGCAGCGTGATCTGAAACATGGAGGACGCTTTCAAAATTTCTTCGGCGTTGTCGACGTCAACTTGGCACCTCCCTGTGTACAAGAACGTCACGATGTTCTCAAATGCGTTCGTGGAGAGTCCCTGTAGCCGAACGCTGTTGTCGACGCTTTCTTTCATTCCGCTTGAAAACATGGCGTCGAAGTAGGGTGACGTGGCAGCGAGCACGGCCTTGTGGCATTCGAACACAACGTCCTCGATACACACGGTGACGTCGGTGTGACGTCGCTCCGTGTAGAGGCGGTGCAGGTTGCTCTGGAGATGCAACGCCGTCTCGACGTCGACACCCGGCAACGGCTTCATTACATCACATGGACACTGAAACATACAGATCGATTGATATTTCATTTACATCTCATCTTTCCTATACAATATTAACATTTATGGCGTCCAATACGGATTTACGAGATGTGAATATTTATTTCAGAAATAACCAACGAGAGTGAGTTGTTTTGGTACAATAAAACGCCGCAGGGAGCATAAACCATGAAGAGCTCAGTAAAAAAAGCAAATTTATTGATTTACAAAGATAAGACGTCTGGTGTACCCAATAGCAGTTGTGCATTGTGTATTTTTAAGAAGCGTTTCCATCTGAGCGATTTATAACAAATACGTTTTGTTGTTTGATAACAGTTGGAATGGTTTTTTAATCAGAGTCAAACGAAATATAAAAAGTGGATATTTCAAAGGTTTATTGACAACACTTTCGTCCACACAAGGCACATATGTAATGTCATCGTCTTTATGCATGATGCAAACACTGAATTAATGGTTAAGGAATGTCTTCAAATTATGGTGGCCGTCGGGTAGCCAAGTGGTTAAAGCGTTCGCTCGTCATGCGAACCCGGGTTCGATTCTCGACATGGGTACAATGTGTGAAGCCTATTTCTGGTGTCCCCCGCCGTGATATTGCTGGAATATTGCAAAAAGCGGAGTAAAACCATACTCACTCACTCACTCTACGGCACACAGAATGGTGAAATATAACTAAGGTACCGGTCTTTTATTTTAGGGGGGTCGGTCAGAGGGAACTCTAGGGTAGGGTCATAAAAAATACACAGATAATAGGGCGTGTCATGACAAAATGGACATTTTATAATAAGTATAAAGTGCATTAAAATTTTGAATTTTGTCTTTTCGGGGAAGGTTATGAAAAAAGTATACAAGGACATAGGGAGGGTCATTATTTTCAGTACATGAGTGCATCAAAAACCTCTGACCAACCCATTTAATAAATGACCGGTCCCTGACACAAATGACATTGAAGTCAATTCTTATAAAAAATAAGTCAACATCAATAAGTTCCTGGGCCCATTTGCACAAAAAGATCTTAGCGCTAAGATGATCGTAACTCCCATACTTTAACATAGGCTTACAATAGTCGTAGCGCTAAGATCGCTTTGTGCAAGTGGGCCCTGGGCTGCTTATTTAGTCATTAGCATAAACATTGTAGACAGCAATACAACATCCGTGACATCGATCTGGTAATAATGCAGAACGAACTATTATCAGCCAATCAGAAAACAGTTGTCCGTTACTGGGCGTGGCTTACTTGTTTTTAGGTTTATGGATTTATTAATGACAGGGAAACAACAAGTACCATCCTTTAACGTCTTTTGGTTTGACGCGACCGGGGATCGGAGCCTTGACCTTCCTCTCTCCGGGCGAACGCTCTACCACTAGACCACGGAGGCGGTCCCACAAAACATTGAGATAGAGTGAGTGAGTTGGGTTTTACGCCGCTTTCAACAGTATTCCAGTTATATCACAGCGTGTCAGCTTAATAAGGGGGGAAAGCCCGAAGTGATGCAGGTCTCAGACGTTTACCACTTCGGTGAAACCCACGAGCACGGGTATGGTGCTGACAAACCTAGAAACATAATCGGGGCGAACCGGGATTCGAACCCACAGTCATAGGTTTCTGGCGTGCCCAAGGGACGCAACTCTGCACAGCGAATCGCGGCGCCTTAGACGACTGGGCCACCCGTGCCCCCCACAGAATAGAAATCTCAGTATAGGAGCGAGTGACTGTGTTGGGTTTAACGTCCCTTTGAACAGTATTCAAGATTTATCACGGCGTGTCAGCTTGATTGTGAGGGAAGCCCGAAGTGTCGCAGGTCTCTGACGTTTTCACCTTGGTAAACCACGAGCACGGTACGGTGCTGACACACCTAGAAACATAACGCGAACCGGAATCACATTATGGAAACACGAACCAGGATGAACTGTTCGACGTACGAACACACTATACAGTAAGCCACCCTATTTCCACCTTCCTCCGCCGATATTCGCAATCTCTACAGTATCAAAACAATCCGAACGAATACCTGCATTGTAGGTAAGTGTGTCACTTTAGCATCGATTGTTCTTTTGTATATATGGCATTGCGATGAAACAGCACGGAAACAATTTGACAGCACAGGATAAAATCAAACAATGAGTCCAAACATCGACCATATAATTCCTAGATGCAAGTTGTGAAGTGTATTGGGTATTGCTAACATATTCGTTCCTACATTATACATGACTTGTCAAACTCATCTGTAACCAACCGCAGTCGGTATGTCAGGGAGAAATCAATGAATAAACAACCCGATGTACCGTACTCTGTCTTATGTACGTCCAAAGGATTATGTAAGTTGGTTAACCACTTGTATTGCCCGGCCTTATTAAACTGGTCCCACTGTTGGCTCGTACAACATGCTAAGCGCTTTTAGCTTTTAGTCGGAGGCGACCAAAAGACTTTTAAAATGGTACTTGTTGTTACCCTGCCGGGCGCTCGAGTTATAAGGGACAGTATGTCGACAGTGTGTTTTTAAATTATTGACGAAAACGTGTGACGTCAAATGCCCGATTCAATTCCCAAACCAAAACAATAGAGCTCTGCACAGCGAAGCCGACATCGCAAGCGCTGCGCAGAGTAAACTGGCTTCAGTAATGTTTTTTATTTGAGGCAAATTGAAGAGAAAGGTCGTGTGTTTTTTCTTATAGTTGCCAGCTTGGTTAGATTTGAAGCCAGTGTCTATCACAGCCTAGATTACAATATAAATGCCTTGGCTCAAGCTGGTCGTATGAAGCCAATCACTCTCCTTCCTTGTGGCCAGCCGGTTACCTCTGTCACATCGCCACATCTTACCAGTCCATTCATGTGTTTTTCATGTGTTTCATTTTGGACGAGTCTGCACATTTAGATAAACATATGTCATGAAATGTTTAACTTTCATTGAGAAAATATCCTAACGTGAAACATTATTTTCACGTGCTGCCATCGAAGTCCTGCGGAGAGCTAGCGATACGGTCACTTTGATGTGTACATATATAGCCATACACCTCACTGTAGCAGTTGTAGCATCTCTTTTTAATTTTGCAAAACAATATGTAAAGCGAACCGAAAGGCTTGCATTAGTCCTGTCTGTTCTTATTTTAGAATAAGTAACCCGTGAAGATTCGGGGTAGAATAGGTCTTCAGCAACCCATGCTTGCCGTAAAAGGCGACTGTGCTTGTCGTAAGAGGCGACTCACGGAATCGGGTGGCCAGGCTAGCTGACTTGGTTCATGCATGTCATCGTATCCCGATTGCGTGGATCGATGTTCATGATGTCAATCACTGGTCCAGACTCGAATATTTACAGACCGCCGTCATATAGCTGGAATATTGCGGCGTTAAACAACAAACAAACAAACAATCAGAATAAGTGCACTTGTTTTCAAACAAGAGAAAAGTCCGGTCACGTGACACCGGCGGTGCGTCACTGGAGAAGGCAAGGGCATTGCCTTCAACAATAAGAATCACCCAATCACAGAATGAGAATATCGGCTCACTCGAATAGTCCCCACCTATACATCCATTCACCCTCTCACTCTCCCTCCCTTAAACACAGCAACTTAGATGCACATGAACAGTTCACATACTACTGTACAGGCAAGCGTATGTGTTTAACAAACAGCTGCCACAATAGCGTGTGTCTGCAGCAAGACAGACATTAATATTCTATGTAGCAGCCGTATCTGTTCATCTCAGTGCAAGAGAACATCTTTGTCTGTCGCGTGGGGCAACAACATGCTGGATGTGATTCAAGATACCGTAAACACATATGTGTGTGTGTGTGTGTGTGTGTGTGTGTGTGTGTGTGTGTGTGTGTGTGTGTGTGTGTGTGTGTGTGTGTGATTCAACCTACCGTAAACACCTCAGTATGTTTTCGGGGGTTGGCTGATGATTGATGTTCGTTGGTTGGTGTGTGGGTGGATGAGTTTGAGGGTGGATTGGATTGGTTGGTATGGTGTGTTGGTTGGTAAGTTGGTTGATTTGTTGGAGGGTGTATGGGTTGGTTGGTTATTTGTTTAGCGTGTGCGTAGGATGGTTGATGGGTGGATGGTTTGGTTGTTTGGTTGGCTGTCTGGCTGGCTGGTTGGTTGGCGGGTGGGTTTTAATAGGTGCGTTGGTGGTGTGTTGGTTGGTGTGTGAGTTGGTTGGTTAGTGGGTTTGCTTGGTTTGTTGGGTGTGTATATATGGGTTGATTAGCGGCTTAGTGGGTGTGTGGATTGGTTACTCGTTAAATGGGTGGATAGATGGGTGCGTATGGGTGTGTTTAGAGTGAGTGGCATTGACGATAGACCTTGACTATATATTGATCCATTGTAGAATAAGAAACGGGTTACCAGCGTGACGAGCTAATATTTTTACCACACGGCTACCCCGCTGTCCCTTGTATTTACTGACACGTGGCAGAAAGTCCTTCATTAATTGTCGCCGCCGCCGCCTTGCAGAATTCTTTTCTATCACGGCGTGTCAGCTTGATGTGGGTGAGGTGAAATTGGGTTTAACGTCGCGTCTAAGATTATTGTACTTATATAGCGACGTGCATGCACGTGTGTGTGTGTGTGTGTGTGGCTGCTTGTACTAGTCCGGATTGATGCCGATTTATAGTGCTAGCTCACTGAGATACCATGCCGCAGTTTAACATGAACACCCCACTCAGACACAGTATACTGACTCCGAGGCGACCAGTCCTTGTTTTTAGCCCCGAGCGCCAGACAGGGTAACAACAAGTACCATCTTTTAACGACTTATTTGGTATGATGCGGCCGGGGATCGAACCCCGGACCTTCCGCTCTCCGGGCGGACGCTCTACCACTAGACCACGGAGGCGGTCCTTGATGTGGGAGGAGGGACCAGAGTGATGGCGGTCCCAGACGCTGACCGCTTTGGTGAAACCCACGAGCACGGGTATGACCAGAACCCAGCAACATAATTAGGACGAGTCTGGGAGTCGACCCACGACCAAAGGTTTCTGGGTGCTTAAGGGACGATGGATGGA